CCCCCCCCCCCCCCCCCCCCCCCCCCCCGTCTAGTCCCTGCCCATCCTCCTGCACCATCCCGGTGCTCCCTGTCACCACCCACCCTCCTCTGCCTTCCAAAGCCAGCCCCAATTCCCCCCACGCTCCCCATTCATGCCCTTCCTCTCACTCTTTCCACTTGCCGGCAAACTCTTGTCTTCCCAAATCCACCGGCGAGATCCCACCTATTTCTCGAACCCCAGACATATCTGTCAGTTCCAAGAATGGTGTCTCTGCCCTCCAGATTCTACCCTTCATAAGGAGGAACTATGTTTTGCTTATCTGCACACTCCACGGTGCCTTCCACATGCTGGAGAAGCAAGATATTACATAAATTAAGCAAAAAATTAAAATTTGATAACTTTTGGGCGAGGTACTGTAACTGGGCACTTTATGGGCACTGTGTCATTTAACCCACCTTGTTATACAGGTGGGTATGTAGTCTCAGAAGGCTCAAGTAACCAGCCCACGGTCATCTGCATAAATAGGAGCAGAGTTAGGACGTGGACTCAGGTCTGCTTCAAAAACTTCATTTTGGTAGGTCTGAAGCGTTCCCCCCAAAAGAGAGACGCCTGGCTGCCTCACTCCAAAGAAGTGAAGAGAAGCTTTCTCTTCTCCCAGGGAGTTTAACCATTTCAGCTCTTCCATGACACAAGGAGCAGGAATTGGGTTCATAGTGATGATAGGAGAGCACGATGCCCCAGCTTTCCTGTTTCTGGGGATGTCTCATTTCTCCTGGCCAAACTCGATTTCGTGAAATGGGGTGGAGCTACTGCAAGCCAATTCAAGGACGAGAGGGAAATAAATGGGCCACAATTGGGGTAACCCCTAAATGCCCCACCAACACTATTTATGCTCACCCGTTGTTAAACCTTAGTTTGTGCCTACTGTTGGTGATGGGGCCTGAACTAAAACCACCACAAGAGGGCAGTATTTACCCACCCTGGATCAGAGCTAGACTAAATCAGGGCGCCTCCACTCTGCTTCTCCATAGGCTACTCATTGCAGCCGGGCTTTTTGGGATCAGAAATTCTGGCAAATGGGAGAAACACATCAGACTTGTCTCCTGTTTTCTGGCTAAGAGTTATAAAGCAGCTAGTGTTGGGGTTGAAAGGTGTTTACTTAAAAAAAAAAATCCTTCTTGGGAAGAAAGATGGATCTTGGTTATATAATCATTTTTTTGAATTCCCTGACAAAATGGGACAATGACTCCATCTGTCTGCCTGCTACTAGAAGGGCAGGGATATATAGAAAGGAGATGCTTGAACATAGTGAGTACTCCTAAGAATTTATTCAGTGATGGAAAAGGATTTGCGCATAAAGGTTGACTTGGGGAGGAAAGCACTGGTCAGTTCCTCTTTGATGGAGGTTGCACATAGCAGTTCAGTCCCTGGGGAGTTAGTGACATCTTAGGTGTCTCCAAAGGCTCAAAGGGCTGGAAAGAAAGCCCCTGGGAAAAAAGCTACTAGGATTCAGAATTGCGTTTGCAGAAAAAAAGGGGTTTACAATTGGCTTCCTTCCAGGTTATAGAGGATTGGTAGGGGATGCCAAGTGTTTGGTCTCTATGTCCATGGAAGATGGAGCAGGAAACAATGGGATTATAACTGGCACAAAGTCAAACTCTATGTGCCAGGGATGGGACACCAGTGGGGGCTGCCAGGGAGGACAGAGAAAGGAGAGACACGGCCCTCTAGGGTTGCCCCATTGTAAAGCCCTTCCAAAGAGGGCCAGAGTACTTTCTCTTTGGTGGTCCCCCAAACTGAGCATCAAGAAAGAAATGCCCAGGCACAGTATATAAAATAGATGCCATTTTTCTATGTGGTGAAACAAAACAAAACAGAAGGACAGTACTGGCTGAATGTTTCCATGCTGGGGGGACCAGGGCTGATCCCTTGAGGCTGGGGGTCACCAGAATTTCTTGCCTCTCTCCGACCTGACATTGATTTTTTGCACTTAAGAGGAGAAAGGAACCCCTTGCCCTCCAGTTACTGAGAGGCTGCCTCCCAGGGAGAAGCTGCCAGACCCTAATTCCTACTAAAGACTTTACTGCCCTTTTTTGATGAGTTGAGGGTAATTTACTTGTCAAAATTATTTTAACAAGTTAAAAAAATGTGGAGATCAATTTTAGAAGGCCCAAAGCCCAAGGACCAGTTTCCTCCCCGCCTGAGATGTGGTTCCTATAGGAGACGCCACATGGTACCTCATCAAGGAATCCCTCTCCACACCAATCAGCTTTAACCAGCTTCCGTGATTTTATCCCCAGGGGTGAGGCAGCAAGTCCCACTTGCGGGAATACAAAAATAATAAGCATATTCTTCTTTGATATTGTTTTAAGATTCCCAAATTTAAAGTTCCATCCATTCATACTCTTTAGGTTCATAACATCATGACTAGGGGAAACTGAGGACACATGATTTGTCCAAAGTCACCTGGTGGCAACATGGGAAAATCCTTATTTCCCTCATGCTCTCTCAGACATACTTCCAGGCCTGTGGATGGGATTGCCTGGGGTGGGGGTGGGGGCTGGTCTGTGGATGTGCCATATCAGGTGATCCTCATGGAGTAGGTGAAGTCGGGGAGGGGGTGTGCCCAATCCATTAGATGGGCTCATTTCACAGTGAGGGCTCCCCTAACTGGTGTCAGCATTTAAATGCATCTAATTCTGTGATTCCCTCTTTCATTGGGAGATACGTGCCATTACTCATCACACCCCCATCCCCATGCCCTGACCCTTTATAACCAAGACAATGAGTGTGCTTTCAGGTGTTTCGGGGACACTAGCACAGACCCTTAATTATAGACACGTGAGGAATTAATACGGGCCGGGGGCACATTTCTTGGCATTGAGGGTCTTCAATGAAGGCAGTGGATTCAGTCCTAAGATCAACACACTTGCACAGGCAAGAGGACAGATGGAGACCCAGGCCTGTCACAGGCACACACACGCACGACCAAAACCTCATCCTCAAAAAGGATAAGGGAGGGACTTCAGCGGCTGAGGGACTGGCTCAGAAAACTTCTGTCCAGCACCTGCAACCTTTCCCGGGGAACCCAGAGAACAGACCTCAACAGGAGTGACAGCATGTTGCAGTGGTTTCATGCACCCGTGATTTGCCCTTGTCAGCAAGGGGGTGGGGGGTAGAGTTTTGTGAGAGCCACTGCAGGTTATAAAGGCATTGCATTGCAGCAGGAAAACTCAAGGAGAAGACCCAGGAGGGCCAAGGAAATCACTGAGGGGTGTGAACCCAGAGGAGGAAAACCATGACACAGAGACAGGACGAGAGGCGGAGCAGGGGCCACGTGGGGTCCTGGAGGAAGGGTTCAGCAGTGTCTGTCCGTGCTTACAAAACCTGAAGCCGCCCCCGCTGGAGCATTTGGGGCAGCCACCCCGCCATCCACCTGGGCAGGAGGATCCAGTTAGGAGCTGAAAACCCTGTCAGAGAAAGGTGGGGAAGGAGGGAGTTAGTGGATTGAATTATGTACTCCCCAAACTCACTGAAGCTTGAATTGTGTCCCCTAAGATTTATGTACTAGAAACTTGGTCCCCACTGTGACTGTTAAGAGGGTGGAAAATCCTATTATGGTAATTGAAAGGTAGAGCCTTGAAGAGGTGATTGGATTGTGGGACCGTGCCATAGGGAATGGATTAAAAATGGTGGTCAGGGGTGTGGTTCTGAGGGCTTTAAAAGAGGAGAGAAGAGAGTCTATCTTTTGCGCTCTCTGCTTCCACCATCTTGCAATGTGAGACCCCTGGGTCACTGTCAACACCACCACCAAATGGACTTGGACTTCCCAGCCTCAGAAACTGTAAGCAATAAATTTCGTTTTCTTTACAAATCACCCAGTTTCAAGTATTTTGTTATAAGCAACAGAAATGGACTAATACAGTGCCACAGGAGCAAGACAGCTCTGTTTGCTTCAAGAGGCCCAGAGAAAACCCCTTTGCGCTCTGGGCTCAGGGGCTTCACCTCTTTAATTTCTTCGGTAGCCCTATTGTCTTTGACAGGACATGGCACATAGATGGGGTTCGTCTTGAATGAATGAATGGACGAATGAATGAATGAATGCATGCTTGCTCACCAATGCAGCCAGCCAGGAAGAGGGACATTTCAAGGGGCTTTTGACAGCCAAGGGAGTTGTGATCTTAAAAGGTAATGGTGCGAGTCTACTGGACACAAAAGTATGTTTTCAAGAATGCTGCGTAGTCTTAAGGGGACAAGAATGAAGATGCCGAGTTTGAGAAATGAGTGTGTGCCTTATACTACGGAAAAAGAAACAGTTGAATTCCTACCTAATTTAAAGTTAAAAAGCACACGGTATGGTTTCCAGGCACTCGGCGGCAGGGAATGGGGGTTGGGGGGGGTGGGTACCGGGCAGTGAGATTACAGTCAAGGTTGATGTGTCACAGAGTTAAGGTAAGGTTTACATAGACTCAATCCCAGTTTTGTGGTGCCTCAATCCATTTCCAGCAATTTCTAAAGGTTGGGTGGAATTGTCAAAATCCTATCAATTGAAATTTGCATCAATGAGAAGCCCCCGGCGATGTGGGGGGTGTGGGAGCTGGTGTAAAGTGCCGTGGGTAGAAATACAACCTCCCAGAGGCAGGAACCATCATTCCACTAGGGGGCGCCCCAGATGGAAGCCGACATCTAAAGCAGGGCTTCCCACACTCAGGGCCAGAGTCCCTGGAGGGCTCATTAAAATGCAATCTGCTGCACCCTGACTCTTGAGTTTCAGATTCAGCGGGTCTGGGGTGGCCTGGGAATTTGCATTTCTCACATGTTCCCCAGATGGTGGTGGTGGTGCTGTTGGTGGTCTTGGGACCCCACTGTGGGAAAACCAGACATCCCTATCCATTGGGAGGAGCCAGCTTACTCATCGGTGTCTTTTTTGCTCTCTTCAATGAAGGCGATAGACTCAGATCTAAGGCGGTTGGTCACTTCGTATGTTCGCAAGGTGACTCCGAAAATATCCTCATGGTAGCGGTTGTCATCCTAGGGACAGAAACAGCCAGGAGACAGCCCTCAAATGCCAGACTTGTGCTTGGGGAGGGGCGGACACCCCAGAATGGAGTATACCTAAAGAAGATGGTTCCTAAAGAAACAAGGCTGTCCCTAGTGTCCCCGTGGTAGCTGTGGTCTCTGAGACTCTGTTCATTCAGACTGCTTTGTGGATTCTGAGGTCAGAAGTGATGAGATTAAATGGAAACCTTCCCATTCTCCCCTTTCCTTCCTCCAACCTGTTCCTGCAAGTTCAGTTCTAGGCAAAGCTGGGTTCAGTGTGAAACGTCATAGTCGTCATAGTCTGTAGAGACCAGTAGAAAGGGGGCATGCTTAACATCCCCACAGCTGCCCAAAGCGGAGACTCCTTGGACACGCTTGAATTTATCTAAAGATGAGCATCTTGGCTTGACTTTGCCCAGAAACAAACAAGCAAAGAGGAGAACCTCCCCTGGGGCCCCAAGAAACAGCACAAGTGACAATTGACTTGTGGCATCTAAGGATTTATGAAGCTGTAGGAGCTCCTTTGTCAGAACTGTGAGGTGGGTGGTCAAGAATATTTTCTAAAGGCAGCATTTTTGAGGATCAAACAAGGGAAAATGCATCTCAGTGCTGAGGGGGGGCAGTGGTTGGGGACATGCATTTGGTGAGCAAGGCACAATGATGCACGGAGTTAAGTCATAGCATCCCTTAGTCCTGAAGGTTTTAAAGAAAGTCATCATTTGCAGAGTGGGTTCATTTTTAGTTGGGGTGGTTTTTCAACTCTTTTCTGCAAAGTCCTGGGGAATCTATGAAAGTGTCTCCCAAAGGTCATACCAAAGAGACTGAGTATATGGGGGTCTTCACAGCTCTCCTCAGATCCCTGAAATTTCTACCAGAAAGTTCCTTTTTTTTTTTTCTTTTTTCACCTGCAGTGGTTTAGCATCAGATTTAGAGCAAGGGCTTCTTCCACAGAAATGTTTGATAACTGCTCATATAGGAAAGCAGGGAGAAGGATGGAGCTTTATGGAGGCCTGGGACTTGGTTTTTTCTATTTGGGGCAGTTGGTCACACAGTTACCACTTTGCTTGCTGAGCTGCCACTAGCCTCTACATAGCCTTTGGGCAAGGTAGGAAAAAGCCCTTCCCTCAGGGTGATACAGCTCCACGCCAAGGGGTATGGAGAGCCAAGTATGGGGTGGCTTTTAGACCTCATTTGCCTGCCTTGGACAGACCTTTTTGTGCAGTGCCCAACCTGCACAGCTGCGCAGGGCAGGGCTGTGGCTTGGTTCTGGGGACAGGAAAAGTTTGGTTAGGGTGATTTCTATCTAGCCATCCAGAGGTCTACCCACTTGTTATTTTCATACACCACAGCCCCCAAGTGAGACAGGATAGGGACGGGACTCAGCCCCTCAACTTGGCCCCTCATCCCTATTTTCAAAGAATCCAGCAAACCCAGATAAGCTATTTTCATGAACTGAGATAAGCAACTATTTTTTTTTTCCTTTTTGTCTTTTTTTCGTGTCCGGCAACGGACCGCAACCCTCAGTGTCGCGCCCATACCGGACCGGGACCGGCAACGGGATTGCAACCCTTGGTGCTGCGCCCACCCCTCGCTCAGCCAGTGAGTGGAACCGGTCTGTATGTGGGATCCGAACCCTCTGCGGGAGCGCCGTGGTGCTCCCAAGTGGCGCACTGTAGCAGTGCGCCACTGGGCCGGCCCTGAGATAAGCAACTTTTTTAACCACAAACTTTCCCAAGGCAGTTAGCCCCGACTCCCTCACATGTACAAAGCTTCAAGGTGACTACTATCTGACCCTCCTGGGTGGCAGTAGTGAGCAACTCTGCCATCTTGGACCTACTGAGCAGGTGCAAGGACAGAAGCCCTAACAGAGCATGCGCCCAGGCTGCAACCTGGAAGGACATAACGGACCACCTCTAGAGGCAGGGAATGAGGATGTTGGTTTGCACCCCTTGCCCTATAAAGGACCCTGAATGGCTCCCTTTGAAGCCAAAGGACCCTCCCTTCTGCCTGTCTCCCTTGTGCTCAAGCATATGCCCTAGTAAAACTAGCCTGCAACCCCCATTCAGTCTCTTGTCAACTTCTATTGCGTAGAGAGCCAAAGGGTCCCCAATTTGGTAACAACCATACTCACTACCTGCACCTGCCCGCCCAGCCACCCCACCTTCTCTCTCAACCATGGTTTGGGAGTACCTATGGGCTCTACCCTCAGTCATAAGTGGAAAAACGGGAGCAGGGATATCACCATGGCTCCCCTAATCCTCAGGACAGGTGGGGTTAGGAAGATAAGGGGTGCTGGGAGAGGGATCTGAGAAGCCACTCTGTTGCTCACCCTTAGCCTGCTGATGAACACGCCGGCATCTTCTGCTGAGAGTTTCCCCTGCTGGGCCATGATGCGCTGGATGGCTTTGAGGACATCGGCAGCCATGGTGACATCCCCACAGACGTAAATGTGGCCCCCTTGCTCCTTCAGGGCTCGGTACACGCGCTCAGCCAGCTGCTCCTGCAGGATGTCCTGCACGTACTTCTGCAGGGAGCAGGAGGACGAGTGGGAAGGGGCCGGCCTGTGGGACACTCCCGTCCTAGCTCACATCTCCCTGGGAGGCAGAGCCTGACTCAGGGGCTTGCAGGCAGGTAGACTGTTCTGTGAAATCATCCCAGGGAACAAGAGTGAAGGACTAGGAAGAGTGAAACAGGGAAGCGGGACAGCCAATCTGAGGGTGTGTGAAAGAGCTGTTCTCCACTTTGGGAAACTGGAGCTCAACTCTGTGGAGGACTCTTTAGGGAGCCAGTAGATGATTCTCCAGAATCATGCCCTGGAGGGGTGTAAGAGAGGGCCTTATCTACCTGCTCCTCTCTCCCAGTGGCCAATGGTTATGCATGGGGTGTTAACATCTGTACACCTCTAGGTACGGGGCTGGTTGCTGCAGGCAGCCTGTGTCACGGTGCCAGGGAAGCCTCAGGACAGATGGCAAGAGGTGGGGGCAAGGTGACCTCTGTCAAGCCAGCTGCTGCAGCAATCGCTGGTGTAAAAGGTGGGTAAGAGGATATGAGGTGGGCACAGAGGTGTCTTTTCCAGCCTCCAGGGAATTTGTCCTGTTGGTTCAGGATGGCTTTAACTTGTCCAGGAATCTCCACCCAGTGAAGCTGACATTCAGCTGTGTGTCTTGGTATGGCTGTGCTGGCTATTACTAATGACATACCCCTATACCAGTTGTCAATCAGACACTGCCCAGACTCTCTGAGTGCCCTCTGCCCACCCCCAGCTGTTCTGACCCCTTCCCTGGGACCCCCAAGACCTCCCCAAGATCCAACAGGAGTGTGCTCCAGTCCTGCAGCCCGTGTCCATTCTGAATGGTACTGCCTCTTATGGGCTGTTAATTATATATTTTTTAATTCCTATTTTTAAGCATTTTTTATTGTGGTAAAATACACATAAGATTTACCATTTTAGCCATTTTAAAGTGCACAATTCCATGGCATTAAGTACATTCATAATGCTGTGCAACCATCACCACTTTCTGGTTTCCAAACTTTTTCATCACCCCAAATGGAAACCCCATTCCCATTAGCGGTCACTCCCCACCCCCCACTCCCCAGTCCCTGGCAACCACAACTCTGCTTTCTGTCTCTACAGATTTACCTGCTCTGGACATTTCATATAAGTGGAATCATATAATATGCGCTGTTAAATATTTTAAATAGATATTTTCCCTCTCCTTGATTGCTAAAGTATAGAGCAACTTCAGAGAGGAAATCCAGAAAGGGGAAGGGTAAGGGGTTTCTAAGAGTGGGATGTGCAAGTGTGTACACACGAGTGTGTGTACGCATGTGCGTGTGTGCTGGGCTGGGGCTTACCTTTGGTTTGTCTGGCTCCCGGGAGTAGGCTGTGTACAGTTCTCTGAAGACCCCCTTGTTCTTGGCCTGTAGGGTTTCCTCCCTGTAGATGTGATCTATCTTGGATTGCCGGCACCCAAAGACCAGGACCATGGGGCAAGGACTCATTCCTGGGGATCAGGAAGATCTCATGTCACCAACGGCTTTGATGCCCCATCTGGGGGGTTTGAGGTACCAGAGGTGGGGGGTTGGGACTTTAGTGTGTGCCATGCTGATAGAGGCTCATGAACACTGGGGCAGGCAGGTGGATGTGCGCATGCACACACACACATGCACACAAACGCACACACTGAGGGAGGTATGTCAAGTGTGTTCAGACTTTAGCGGACCTCCCCTCCCTGCGTCTTCCTTCTTCTGCCCCCCAACTCTTTAGCAGCCCTCACCATCGGTAATGCTAAGAGCCCAGACTCTGGAGCTAGACTGCCTGGATTCAAATCCCATCTCTTTGTGACGAACAACTTAACTTTCCATGCCTCAGTTTCCCCATGTGCTACATGGAAATAATAGCAGCATCTACCTCATAGGCTTATTGTGAGAAATATATGTAAAACATTAAAACTGGGCCTGGTGTCTAGGGAGCACTTTATAAGTGTTAGCTGTTCTGCTAGAATGACAGTTCCAGGGGGCAGGTTTTTATTTTTATTTTAGTTGTTTTTCTGCCTTGTTCATTGCTGTGTCCCCAGGGCTTACAATGGCGCTTGGCATTTATTAGGTGCTCGACAAATCTTTGCTTAATGCATGCCAGTTTCTTTTTCTCTGTTTCACCCAAAGCTGATCTGTCGTGTCTCTCAACTAGCAAGTCCTGCTCTTGAATACCGTCTTTGGGACAATCATATAAACACATCCCTTTAATAGACTAGTGCCTGCTCCTACTAGGGCTATTGGATTTTTAGGAGGGGGAGCATCTTAACAGCAAAGAAATGTCCTTTGGAATTTGGGATGGAATTTCAGGCCCCTAGGACATCTGTACAGATTTGTTTGGTGTTGTCAGCACTATGCTCAGCCAGTGAGCGCACCGGCAATCCCTATATAGGATCCGAACCCGCGGCCTCGGCTCTACCAGCGCTGCACTCTCCCGAGTGAGCCACTGGGCCAGCCCTGGACAGGCCATTTGAATTACACCATGAACCTCACCCATGGTCAGGTTGGTACCACCTCCCACCCCTCCCAGGCAGTGATTCAGTGCAGAGGTGACTCCATCACTCTCTGGGGCTGCTGAGATGCAGCTGGGCCTCCCCGGGTCCATGGGGTAGAAACCAAGGGGCTGCTGGACTGCAACCCACCTTTATGTTGGATGTCGAATTGCCGCTGCTGCCAGAAGCTTCGGAAAGGAGCGATGCCAGTGCCTGGGCCAATCAGGATGCAGGGGACTTGGGGATTTCGGGGCAGGTGGAAGCTGGGCGCACTGAACAAGGAAGGGTGGATCAGATGGCTTACAGAGCACAAATCTGATCTAGAACAGCTGAGTCTTAGGTAGACCAGGCAGTCGTCTTGGGTAGACATACAGTGGGACTTAACAGCTCTTTAGCTGGGGCCTCTTTTCAGGGTGGGAGTCCTGCAAATTAGGGGAATTCCAAACATAGGAGGTCCCCCAGCTATTGCTCCATTCCCCAGTTCTCCTCTTTCCCGAGCTAAGCCACAAAAGGCAGTGGGATTGACCTAACTCAGAGTTTCTTTACATTGGCACTACTGACACTCGGGGCTGGATGCCCCTTTGTTGTGGGGCTGTCCTGCTCACTGTAGGATGTTAAACAGTATCCCTGGCTTCTACCCATTAGATACCAGGAGCACCCCTGAGTTTTCAAATGTCTCTGGGGTGGGGACAAAAAATCATCCTGGGTTGAGAACCACTATCTATGGGATCTTAAATCAGGGAGTCACAGACTTCAGGGCATAAACGAATCACCTGGGGATGTTAAAAGTGCAGATTCCTGGGCTGTGCAGTAAGTCTGGACTCAGGACTCTGTATTTTTGAAGCACCCCCAGGGATTCTGACGTCAGTGGTATGTGGACCATACTGTGGCCATTTCAACCTCGACAGTTGAGAAAAATGGTTGGCCAAGGCCACTGTTCAGGTAGAGAAGTTATTGGTTGACATATAGCAGGGGCTCCCAATGTGTCTAAACTCAGTCATATCCTTTAAAACAGAGTTTGGGATGGTTGGATCTTCCCCATCTCTAAGAAACGGGGCACAGACTGGGGGTGACCAACAGAATGTGGATAGAGTTTCTGCTAGTCTGTAAATTCCATATATTTTCCTAGTTCCCCACTGTAGCCCCAGCATCCAGCACAGGACACGCACTTGGTGAATATTTATTGCATTGACTTGACTGACTAGAGGATGTGCTTAGCTTGCTATGTTGTTGTCCCATGATCCTGTTTCCTTAACAACTTGGAGTGATGCGGGATGTTGCTCTTAATCCCACCTGACGCAACCACCGCGGGGCTGGTCCACCCACCCCACCTCGTGGCATCCACATGCAGAGTTGGGACGGCTGCTCATCTCTTCGTTTGCTACTCACCCTCTCACGAAACAGGGGACCACGTCATCAGCCGGTATCCGGTTGAGCCAGGAGGAGCACACGCCGTGATGAATTGGTCCTTCTCCATCTGTCGGAATAACCAAGGTGGTCTGGGTCGCCCACTGCCCACAAGCCTCCCTGTCACGGCCTCCCCCTCCCTCTAATGCATTATGCTCACAGGCCTCATGCCAAGTTTCTGCCTTGGAATTCCTTGTCTGGATCCCTCCTCTGAAGGGGCAGGGGAAACAATACAGCTGGGGTGGGCTGTCGCTGTGCAACTGCCCAGAGTTCCATCAGGTCAAGGTGGGGTGGATTCAAATCCTGCACACTGAAAGGGCCTCAGTCAAGGTACTCTTGGTGGCGTGCCGAGATCCCCATTTCCAAGTTCCCTTGGGCACTGTGCATTTTAATTGTTTTATCAAGGAGGGCAAGTTCGGGAGCAGAGCTTGGGTATTCTGACCTGCAAGCAGCAGGGCATGATGCGGCAGGGAGCTCCCCCAGGAATGGGTAGTGGTGGCTGTTCCAGCTGCTGCCTCACAGATAGGAGGGGATGGGAGGGTTAAAGCAGATCTCAAGATTGGGACTAGCTGAGGCTACCAAATGCACACCTTGCCTCTTTCCTAATTCTGCTCAGAATTGGCTTTGTCTCAGGGGACACTTTCCTGCTGCTTCTTCCCTCAATGTCCTGGTCTTGGGCATGAGTCTCCTCCCAGGGATTTGGGATTTGACCTCTGGGCAGTAGTTTAGGGAGACCTCCAGAGCCCTTTGGGGTAAATGCAGAGCAGGAGACTCTCCCAGGCCTCTGCCCACCTCGGGTGCGGTAGGAGACAACGGCTACGGTGAGGTGCACCTCGTCGGGGTACATGTCTGGGGACGAGCTGATGGAATAGTAGCGAGGTTGCAGCAGGGACAGCTGGGTCAGGAGCAGGGTGGCCGGCATCTGGATGGACGGGAACTCCTCCAGCACCTCCACGATGGTGGGGTTCTTGCCCCACTTCCATTCCTCATACTCCTGCAAACCCTGTGCCAATGACAGGGATAGAGACAAGCTTGAACCCAGCTTTTACATATTTCCAGTGAGGACCTGAGGAGGTCCAGGGAAGAAGGCAAAAAAAAAAAAAAAAAAAAAAAGAAAAAAAAGTTAACCCTTAAAAGTAATTATTCTGTGCTGGGTTTTAATTCTCTTAAGAACTTTATAAAATAGGGATTATTGACATCCCCTTTTTGGAGGGACGTAAACGTCCTATGGCTACTAAGTGGCAATGCTGGTTTTTTGTTTTTTTTTCCCCTCCAGTCCATTCTACCCTGGGAACTATCCGAACAACGCCAGATGCGTGTGGGACATTGAAGTCCAGAACAACTACTGCGTGACTGTTACCTTCAAAGACGTCCAGTAAGTATGCGGCTACAAAGCAGAACGCATCGATGCTGGGTTTTGAATCTAAGACAGGGAGTGGCAAACTTCAGCCTGCAAGTCAATTCTATCCCACTGCCTGTTTGGCATGGCCCATGAAGTAAGAATCATTTTTACTTTTTTAAATGGTTGGGGAAAAAAATCAAATGAAGAATAATACTTTATTTCACAAGAATAGAATATGAAATACAAATTTCCGTGTCCATAGATAAAGTTTGTGCTACAAAGGTCCAGCTGAATAGTTGCAACAGAGACCAAATGGATCGCGGGACTGAAATATTTACTATCTGGCCTTTTACAGAAACAGTCTGCCACCCCCTGCTCTGGGCAGTCTGTCCCCAAAGTCCATGCTCCTGGCTGTCATACTCCCCTGAAGGTGAAGAGAGATGCACTGTGGGAGGGCTGGTGACCACTGGGAGAGGTCATGGCAGGCAGTAGCAGGCATAGAATGCAGACCTGTGATGATTTGGCTGTTGAGGCTGGAGATGCATCCTCATGTTGGGGTCATGTCTGAGACAGTTAAGTGACAGCCCCAGAAAAACAGAACGGGGTGTGTGAAGGACGACTTTTGGCTGGGGGTGGGGATGGGGTTGACAGCAAAGCCCAGCTTTACCAGGGAACTCTCTGGGGCTCTGGAGTTATTTTTCCTACATTGCAGAAGCTCCCCTGGGCAGTTCCTTACTGCTGGTATAGGAGGCTCAGTTTCTGAGACCAGGGATAAAGTCTACGACAAGCACATTGTATTACAAAGCTTTTCCCCATGTTCCTGAAGACCATGCTTACTTTATCAATAGGATAGGGCATCCTTGAAAATGTGTCTCCCATACCTCCAGCCTCACTGACACGGAGCTGCAGGAACACAATCGACCGAATGCCCCAGCACTCAACTCTTTGAAACTGACACCCACCTGCAACTGACTTCTGTCTCCTGTGTTGGTGCCAGGTCTGTCTTCCCACAGGCTGCTGCCAGCCAGTGATTGAGCACAGGAGGGCTCTAGAACTCCCCAGGGTGCTTGCTGGTCCTTCCTTCCCTAAATTGCATTGCAATCTAGGATGCTTCCACCCAGACTTTACTTTCTTTCCTTCACTTGGGGTCAGACTTGTTTTGAGATCTGATGGTTCTCGCAGCCTTACCTGACTCCTTTCCCATTTTCTCTCACACAGGTGTTTCCCCTAATAAAAATCGTTGCTCATTTAATCCCATTTTGGAGTCTGTGCACTTTGCAGAAGATACTGACTAATACATACAGTTACATCAAATTCTACTTTAAATAATCTTGTGCAAACGGTGCAATCTCTGCCTCTCTTCATATTAGCCCCCCCATTAAGTCAAAGTTTTAAATCAAAGTTATACATGTACATAGTCTAAAGAGTTAAATAATTTTGCGAAGATTATGATTAAAAATAGTGGTCTCCTGTTCTATCTCTGCCATCTGTTTCCAGCTCCCCAGAGATAACCACTTGTAACCCTTCATGTGTTTCTTCTTGTGTTTATTTTTATATTTCTAAGTAATATGCATGTGCTGATTAGCTTCTTCCTTACACTACTTATCATTCAATCCCCCATCCTGGAAAGCGGAAGAAAACTAAACCATCTTTCCATCTTTTGCTGGGGGCTTGTTTACTGGGAAGGAGACTGCACTGGGAGGAGCCCAGGTGGCTTTCTTGGGTAGGATTCTTTCTGAGCAAGGGTTTGCACCAACCAGTTTGGGACAGGAGAATGCCTGGTTTCTAAGCAAGGGTGGTGGAAGCTATTTTGGCTCACCTTACCATCAGAGGCCTCTTACATTTAACAGTCCTACCTACAGCTCCTCTGCATCAGATAAAGCTTATCTTTAAACCAAGGCACGGTGAGATTGTCTCAGTTTCTTTTTCTAAGCATTGGCTAAGATTGAGCTAATGGAAGCTTAAGGTTCAAAAGAAAGGTGGAAAGAGTTAGAATAGCAATTCCTATTGTGGCTAGAGACTCTGAGACTCAAAAGGGTCACTCTTGTTGTGTTAGGGCTTAGTTAGAACTAGAGGAGATTGCCAAGACTAGCCAAGATAGACCAGCCAGCATGGTACTGTCTGCCAATTAGAAAATGGCAACCTTTGCTCAAGACTGCCATCTGCTGGAAAACTGTTGTAAAATCGTTTTACAACTCTCCAACCACTAGGAGGTGAAAGGCCCCCCGCCTGGGGTTGCACCAAGCCTAGGGACCCACCTTGCTGAGGACCAGCAGACGTTGCTTCTCCTTCTCGCTGGTGGCCAGGGAGGCAAACTGCTGCAGCTGCAGGGGTGTGGGTGGCGTAGTGATGTCCAGATAGTACTTGAAGGCCTGGAAGATGGTACAGGGCGGGAGGCGGTGCTCATCGGTCCAGTTACTGATGACGCCTATGGAGGCACAACAGGGGTGAGGGGTGGGAGGGGGAGTGCTAGGTGAGCAGGGTGGTCCCAGAGCCAAGCAACCCCTCAGCTCTCTACCTTCCACGCCCCACTCCCACACCCAAGATCTGGAGGACATCATGTGTGCAAAAGGCATATACAAAATCGGTTAGGCAAACTAGTCCAAAAATTAAAAAATAAACATAAAAAGAGAAGAAAAATATTAAAATAGCATGAGACAGTCCACTGGCATTCTACACAATGAGTCTCCAATTGAGCTTGAGATATGACTCTACTACTTTGGCTCCATCTGTCCTCTCCCAGTGTCAGCCTCTTATGTCTCTGAGTGGGATTCTAGTGTTTAAACTTACAAACATGGCTAATACTTATTTAGCACTTTCTATATGCCAGGTACTATTCTCAGTACTTGACATTATTAACTCATTTAGTCCTTGCAACAGTCCTAGGTGGTGAGTGCTATTATTATCCCCATTGAGAAAAATGGAAGCACAGAGAGGTTAAGGAATTTGTCCAAGGTCACACAGTTCTTAAGTGTGAAGGCAGGCAGTCTGGCTTCAGACCTTGGTCCAACTACAACATCGTAATGTCTCTGTGTACTTTCTATCCTGTATGGCCCCTCAAACACAAGCCTTTCCTTTGTCAATCTGAGATAAAAAGCTTCCAACACAGAGGAAGAACTAGCTGGGTTGGATTTATTAAGAAAGGGTGTATCTTTCCAAAGTGGTGCTTCCCTAAGGGGTTTTCAGTAGGGCTCTGACTATATACTATTTTCACATTCTGCCCTGACTTTACACCCTAGCTCCTTTGTAAGGGTCATGTTATCACAGGCTGCCATGTAAAGTCACCAAAGTGCCTTGTACCTGAGCCCCGAGCCCACCTGTGCATGCTAAGATGAAGCACTGGACCCATTTGTCTTTGAAAGTTCTTCAATATGAATGTCAAGGATGGTCACTTACACAGGGTGGAACTTGATCTAATGAGGTTCAACCCTAACCCTAACCCTAACCCTATAGTACCTTTTGATTCTATGAGGAGACAGGATCATTTCAGCTGTGTTTACATGGTGGGCATTGGGATACTACAGATTTTTCTGAGGGGTGGTGGTGATGAAGAAAGGAAGAGAAGTGGCTACTGCTAGTCAGTGTCAGGCCGATGAAGGAAGATAGAAGCCGCCTACTCCCAGCGATTAGCCACTGATGTCCTGGTGTCATGGACATTTGCCCAGCTGGTTGGGCCAAGGTTGGGCATTCATGAGAAAGGGGAGTCTTCATTCTCTAAGCTGGAGGTGACAGAGACCCACTCTCCTACCTGGAGTGGGTCTCTTCCTCCCCAGACACCTGCTGCCTCTGAAACTCCCTGGAGAAGAGAAGAGCCCCAGGGAGTGTTACCCAAAGCCGTGTTCCGCTCTTCTAGCAGCTCCACTTTGACCATCTGGTTGACAGGAGGTGCATCCTCCAGCCGCTCAATTAGGGCATTCACGAGGTCCTCATGGTTGCCGGGGAAGACGCCCAGGTGGTCCCCTGGCTGGTACTGTAGCTCCTGATTGCCATTGGTGTGGAGACGCACGAAGATAGTTGATCGGCTGTAGGGAATTGCAGGGGATCAGGGGGACAAGGGCCACCAGCTACTGTCCCCTTTCTTTACTCCTCTGTCTGTCCTTGCTGGCTGCAACCCCCTCCTTTCATCCTTGCTGGGGCCTGAGCCAACTAAGCTTGTGCCCCTGTCATTCCACACCATGTCTTTTATCAAGGTCACCCATGAGCTCCTCACTGCAAATCCAACTGCTGGTTCCCAGGGCACATGTGGACCATAGAAGTAGCATTGGATACAGACACTCCCTCCCGCCTTCTCAAGTCCCTTCACTTCTTTCCTGGTCTTCTCTCTGGCTGTTCCTGCTCAGTCTTCTGTGCTGATTCCTTCTCATCTCCACACACTGCAAACATTTGGGTACCCCAACTTTCAGTCCTCACACCTATTTGCTCTTCTATCTTCCTGCACCTGATTTACTTTTCTCCGTAATACTTGCTATCATCTGACCTACACCATAGTTTACCTCATTCTACGCTGCAAGGACAGGGACTTTGTTTTGTCCACTGCTCTATTCCTGGTGCCTGTGACAGCATATGGCACATATTAGGTGCTCAAAAACTATTTGTTGAATGAAGGAACCTCAGACTCCCAGGTTAACCAGCTGCTGGAACAGGCCCTGTTCTCAGTACCGATTGGCGTCCTCTCAGGGACCATTACCACACTGGGAAGACACAGGCAGTGATGTCCCCAATCTGTGACATTCCATCTTTCCTAGGAATTCCAAGCTCTATCCCCTTATGCAACCATAGGGCCTCATATTGTCATGGTAAAGGAAAAAAGCCTTGGTCTTAAGCTTGGGTTCTTCTTATGCATAAATTCACCAATGGTATAAAACTGAGAGATCTAAGAAGAAAATCCAGAGGGAAACCTTTATGTTTGTTGGGTCATGCCCTTTCATATTGATTTTTGTGTTTCAAGTTCAGAAGGCCTGTGCTGATCAAATAGCTTCAAGAATGAATTCTCAGAATGTGATTATTCTGTTCCTTTTTAAAGTTTTAGGACAGATATACTGCATTTTACATAATACCTGCAAATGTTGGGATCAATTACACTTTGGTAAATCAAATCCTCTGCACTCTGAGCTATGCTTGCTTTTCAGATCTGCTTTTCCTTCATTGCCAACTGGTTTTCAGTTGATCAAGACGCTTGATATTCAGCATGAAGTTTCTACATTCTTCACGGTATGTAAATCAACACTTGAATAGACCAATGGGACTCGCTATTTAAAGGAGTTTTTGGCACAACGAAGGGCACTTTTGTGCTACAAATAGCCGCCATTATTAAAAATAGTTGGGTTGGCACATTATTTTTTGGGGGGGCATCAAGTATTTTCTTGAAGCAAGGCACCCCTGTCCTTAGTAGGATGGGGAACTTGGCGAATATAATTGTGCATGGTTGTGTTAGGGTTTGGGGTCCCACTCTCCTTCCCTGGGCAGATCTTGCCCTCTCTGGGGCCCTGATCTTGTCAATTCTCCTCTGAGCTCACACCTGTCTTTGGTTCCTTGGGGAGCGACCTGCTGCACGCAGGGACTTAGCAGAGGCCGACAGACAGCAGGGGGCGCTGTGGGGCTTCTAATTTGAGAGCCTCTGGAGCCTCCACAGAGGAAGCCTTTGAAAGGCCAGCAAATCAATTCCCGCTTTCTTCTCCGATCACGATTTGCACAAAATAGAAATGCGGAGGACCTGAACTTGCTGAGCAGAGGGCCTGAACTTGCTGAAATGGCTCATGCGCACAGCCACTTTCCCAAGTCCTCTTGAACGTGGCAGAGGGTGGTCAGGCAAGTAAGGGGCGGGAACGGTAACGTAGAGGGCAGGATGGCTGGAAGGCGGGCCCTGGTTCTGTCCCTGCTGGGAGTTTAACCAAGGGGGCTTTGCATGCCACTTGCTGAGAATGGAACGGCTGTGTGGCCCCAGGGTGCTTTGACGAGCTAGTCCCTTGATGCATTGCTGGGAAGCTGATCCTCAGTGGGTAGCAGAACTGGCCCAGAACCCAACTGTCTTAATCTCAGTTCTGCTGGGGGTTTCTAACTGTAAGATTTTTTAAGCTTTCTTTTTTTTTTTTAAAGCTTGGGACACACGTGAGTCATTGAGAAGTACGGGCTGAGGGAGAAAAGGGCAATGTTTGGCCCTGTTCACCTCCTCCCCCAGAGTGTCCCCTGTGCGCCTGATGTATTTATGTCCACATACAGATGCATCACACACACACAGATGCACACGTGCACACACACATGCGTGCCAGTACTTCAAAGACAGGTTCGCAGATGAAAGGACAATCTGCTAACATCCAGCATTTAAATAGAAAAAAATAGCCAATGGTCATTCTTCAGCAAAAAGAGTGAACATTGTCAGTTGTGAGCCATTTGAATTAACGAGGCTCATTCATTCAACAAATTTATTATTATTATTATTATTTTGCGGCTGGCTGTAGGGGAATCCAAACCTGTGACCTTGGGATTATAAGGCTGTGCTCTAACTGAGTGAGCTAACTGGCCAGCTCCATTTATACTGTCAAGGCACTGTGCTAAGCACTAGTGAGAGAGTAATGGGTAAAGTCAGCAAAGTGCCCTCTTCTCACTGAGATGTCACTTACAAAGATCTCAGGTGGAGTTGGTGATGTGGATGGGTGGGTGGCGATGGGTTGGGGGTAGAGGTTGAAATCAGATAGGATGGTCTGCAAGGTCTGGTGATTTGACATTTGAGCAGAGACCTGAATGATTCGAAGGAGCGGGTATGAGGAGATCTGGGGGCAGAGTGTTCCAGGAAGGGGGAAGGGCACATGCAAAGGTCCGGAGGCAGGAAAAAGGGTTGCGTGTTTGAGGAAGGGAAAGAAGCCTGGAGTGTTTGGAGAGTGGTAGGATCCAGATCATTAAGGCTTCGTCATGACCTGTCATGGCAAGGAGTTCAGTGGTTTCCCTGAGCCCAGTGGGAAGCCACTGGAGGCTGTGAAGATGGGGAATAATGTGCTTCAATTTATGTTTTTAAAAGATTATTCCAGCTGCTGTTTGGATCTTTGAGAGAAAAGCCAAGAAACAAGGAGACAAGCTAGGCAGCTATTCCAGTCACTCAGACCAGAGATGACCATGGCTTTCCTCAAGGTGGTGGTCGTGGACCTGAGATGTAGTTAAAAGACAAGGTCAAGAGCATCCGCTGGGAGATCGCATGTGCCACGTCAGGGGGAAAGAGAAGGTCAGGAGGATACTGGAGGTTGTGGCTGAAGCAAAATGTTGATGTCCTCTGTTGAGATGGGGAAAGATAGAGGGAAGCAATTTTATCCCAGGGGGATGAGAATTAAGTGTTCTCCCCATTAAGAATTCTCCATTGTAATGTCTGCTGCTCTCCAAACACCCCGGCCCTCAGGCCCCCTCTGCACCTTGGCTCCTGCTGTCCTTTCTTCCTAGATGCCCCATCACTGTTCTCTTGTGCCTGTCTTGTGCCCTGCCTTAGAGTCTCATCTCCAGTTCTGCAGTTTCCCCGCCTCCTCCTGACTTCTAGCACTTATTATCTGTATCCCACCATTAGCGCTCCATTATACTCTCTTCTATATTGTTTGCTAATTGTTGTGCGTACATTAAAAAATTTATTTCCAGGCGGGTGTCTGTGGTCACTTTTCTCTTTAGATTTGCATGGATCACCCTCAAAAGGCTGTTTACTTCCTCTTAAGCACTTTGCTTGCAATTAAGGGGCCTCTGCAGGGGTGATCTGTGATATTTTGGCGATGGCTTTCTGTGCCAAACAGCCCAACTTCAGCCTTGGGCAGGAGAAAAAAGGAGAGTCATGCTTTTTCCCTCAATTATCCTTTTTTTTTTTTTTAATAAACCTTATAAAGCTGGAAATGGTATTGAGCCTGAAAATATGACGTGCTACAGAGAATACTTTTAAAGTGATAAACACCTAGGTACAATTTGGTCCTTTTTGTACTAATTCATAATTGATTTTAATACTATGTTCCAGTTCCTCACCTTGTTCAGAATATTCTCTTGCTAGTCACTTTTAGACAGTTTAGAGTCAGGTGCCCTTTCTGGTGGTGGGGGTGGGGCCGATTTGGGGACTTTGGTTCAATTTAGCATCAAAACATTTGCAAGTTTCTTGGATACTTATGTACTATGGTTAAGGGAGTAATTTTTATAAACTGGTCTTTCTTAGTTTGTTGCTGAGAGAAATTTCCAGTTGCTTCTTAATCCCTTTTCTTCCAATGCTACTAAAGTCATACCTTTCAATAGGACAGACGTGGGAAGTAAAATACGTATTTCAAATACAGAGTCCCTTTCTATATCAGAGGTCATTATGCACTGAACATTGCATTTAATTAATTATTCAAAGAGGTTAATTTCCCAATTCCTTTCTTTTATGTCTGAGGATTTAGAAGAGAACTTGAGAGCCCTGAGGCTCTATCCTGTTGATAACTTTTATCAAAGGTTTGGAAAACCATGTAGAAAAGCATGCATACTAAATTTGCAGGTGATATGAAGCTGGGATGGATACGAAATAGTAATGGGAATCTATGATATGCTAGTTGCTTTATGTGTCTTGTCTTTAACATAGCAGCCTTGCAAAGCTGTTGAGGCCATCTGTGTAGCCATTCAGCATGTTGACATTGGAGTCAGATAACAAGGTAGGTGTGACCTTGAAAAAGTCACTTGCATTTTCTAACTGTCATTTCCTGTTTTTAAAATAGTACTTACTTCTTGGACTGGTTGGAATTATGAGAGACCCCACACAGAGGACTCAACACAGTGCTTGAGACATAGAAAGCACTAGATAAATGTTGGTAATGTTTATAGCTATCATTCCCATTTTATAGGTAAGGAGACAGGGGCTCAAAGCACCCAACTGACTTGCTCAAGGCCATACTGCTAGTGCATGGTAGAGCAGGGGTCAGAATCCAGGGCTATCTAGCTCGGAAGCCCACTCTTTGAACTGTGCCATTCAAAGAATCGAGATTTCAAAAGATCTCCATGGGCTGTAACTGCAAAGTGAAAAAGATTCCATTCAACAGGGATCAATGCAAAGACCTTCATCAGTGCTAAAAAAGTGCTTATACAAGTAGAGGGATGGAAAGACCTGGTTTGACCATTTTGAGAAGACGTGACGTGTAGGATCAGCAATGATGATATAAGCTTAATGGGAGAGCAGAAAGGCTGTTAGAACTAGGCCTGCAATCTCGGGTGTCATTAGCACGTCCTGCTCAGATCAGTGATGGTAATAATAGTCTCAGCACACTTGGCAGTGATCGCACGACCTCCACTGCACTGTGACCAGGTCTGAGAATGACATTTCCTTTTACTAATGCCAAAAGCTTGGGAAACCAGGTCTTAGGGAGAACGCTTTGAAGGAATCAGGACCCATGGGAGACTGTTCAATGCCCTTGGCTATTAGCAGGTCTTTCATTTGGAAGAAACAAATTTGTTTTGGGTGTCACTGGAGAGTATAACTGGGTTTAAAATAAAGTGCTAGAAAGACATACTTTGGTTATATGAGATATTTGATTATATTAGATATGCTGGACATTTGGTTATGTTGAATAGTAAGATAATTTCTAACAATTAGGACTTTGAAACATAGACTGGGCTGTCTCGTAAGGTAATGAACCTCCTGTCATTCCAAAGAAATTTAAGTAGAGTCTGGGTAGCCATTTTTAAGCACTCCATAGAAAAATTATCCACAATGAGGAAATGCTTGGACTAAGTGATTTCTGACTAAGATGCTGTGGTGCAATAAACATTCAGCAGTTCTACAGGCGTATGGTCCACTGCTAAAAATTACTCACAAAACCTTCCTGTTTCCCCTTTTCTCAGTGATCGTCAGCACCATCTCCTTCTCCCATTCTTCCAGGTCAGAGCTTGGCAAAGGGAAAGCAGAAGACCCAGATGCTACAAAGCAGCGAGGGGGTCTCCATGGCACTTGGCAGTGGTTGGGAGAGAGGAAGCCAGTCCTGGGAGTCAACAAGGCCTCTTCCCTTATTGTGGGTGGCATCTGGGAGCAGAGGGGATAACTCTGAGTCAATCAAGGTGTTCTTACCTGGATTTAGGGCTCTGGAGGTTTTGACGGCTAAGGAGTCGAGCGGCTGAGACTCGCTTTTTGTGGACATTGGATAGACCTGTGTGGAGAAAAACAAGTCTTCCTGAGATGGAACTGAGCAGTTGTCAATCAAAACCCCCCAGCTTTTCTACTGACACCTCTGCTGTCCTCTGGAGTAAGGCGAAGACATGAAAGAGAAGAGGTCAGGCAGGCATTGGTTGGGATGAAGGGCAGGTTGTGGACAATGCAGAACAAACAGCAAATGTGGTTGAACTAAGCAGAGAAGAGGATGGTTCAGGGGAACACCACACTACTGGGGAGAGAAACTTCCCAGCGCATGTTTTACTGAGCATGGGGCAGCAGCGGTGTATTCACTCTGGGGGACTGCACGAAAGGAGACCAAAGCGATGAAGCTCAGCTTCTCTCAGCATCTTCAGAGGTGGGATGTCCTTCCTTTCCTTTCTCCCCACTGTCATGAATGCCCCCCAGGAGGGTGCTGAGAGGTACCCTGTGTAAGTTCTGGAGCTTCGGCTACATAGGTGAGGCGGAACTTGTTCCTCTTCCAGCTGCGGTCATTGCTGATGAGGGAATTGTTCGCCTTCTCAATGTTGACGTCATCTCCCACGCAGAACACGTCACAGGCTGCCTGTGGTACATACAAGGCTTTCAGTGACCTCTTGCAGCCAAGAGGGTCTCCTCCACAGTAGCTCCAAGTCATGGCATGTATCTTTCCCCCACTCATCCCTCCACCCATCCACCCATCCCTCCACCCATCCACCCATCCCTCCATCCATACACCCAACCCTTCATCCACCCAGTCCTCCATCCACCCAGTCCTCCATCCATCCACCCTCTCTCCATCCATCTATCCATCCCTTCATCCATCTACCCATCTACCCACCCATCCCTCCATCCGTCTACCCACCCATCCCTCCATCCATCTACCCACCCATCCTCCATCCCTCTACCCACTCATCCCTCCATCTCTCTACCCACCCATCCTCCATCCCTCTACTCACCCATCCCTCCATCCGTCTACCCACCCATCCCTCCATCCCTCTACCCACCCATCCCTCCATCCCTCTACCCACCCATCCCTCCATCTGTCTACCCATCTATCCACCCATCCCTCCCTCCCTTCCTTCCATCCACCCACTCTTCTATCCATCTTTCCTTCCTTCCATCTGCCTATCCATCCTACACTTTTGAGTGCCTTTGATGTGCTGGACACATCACCTTTACCAATGACTTTAGGACCTAACCTCTACTTAATATGTAACTCTAATATGTTATTTATTCCTAAAACAAACATGTGTAGAGGCTTAACATTAAAGAAAAAAGTAAACACCTTAGAATTTCCTATCTATCTTTTGTCCAAAGATTTAAAAAATTGTATCAAGGCAGACATATTGAAAGTCTGGATGCCTGCATATACATTTTTATTTTCCTTCCTTCCTTCCTTTCTTTTTTTGTCAAGCCCATTAACTCTCCAACCCTAATGATCCTAAAAATTACAGTTCAGAATTATTTTTTGAGATAAAAACCATAGATAATTCAAAAGGTTTTCAAGGGTGGCTTTTACCATTGTTTGGCCTCATATTGATTTTAAAATAATGTTCATCAACTGACAACAAATAGACAAAATGTGGTATATCCATACAATGGAATATTACTCGGTCACAAAAGGAAATGAAGTACTGATACATGCTGTAGCATGGATAAACCTTGAAGATGCTGTGCTGAGTGGAAGAAGCCAGTCACAAAATACCACATATTTTATGATTCCATTCATATGACATGTCCAGAATAGATAAATCTATAGAGTCAGGAATTATATTAGTAGCCACCAGAGCTGGAGGTGGGCTGGGAGAATAGAAAGTTGAGAGCTAAGAGGTATGGTGGCTTTTAACAGGTCCTGATTCTGGGTGCTCCGTCAAGGTTGGTTGATTCCAGTCAAGAACCGTGCAATTATCTCTAAGTGAAGAAATGCAGGAACAGGCTATGCACACAGCCTCCTCCATACAAATCCTTATAACCCAGGGACTTCACTGCTCTCTACCTGCATTTGATTTCAGGATGAAAAGTGCCAATTGAATGACAGAAGGTTGCATAGTCCCTTGTCCCCTGGGGCTGCTGATGAGATTGCATTCCAGGGCTGAGGATGGGGCAGGTAAAGGGTCCACATTCATTGCTTCCCCCACCCCCACCCCATGATGGCCAATTTAATCATGCCGCACATGCAGATAGAAGACCATGGTTCCTTTTTTCTCCTGTGACCTTGCATTTAGAACAATGCTGTCCATTAGGATGTTCTATCATGATGGAAACATTCTGCACTGTCTAATATGGTAACCACTAGTCACTAGTGGCTACTGAGCACACACAATGTGGCTAGTGCAAATGAGGAGTGGAATTTTAAATTCCATTTAATTTTTTACTGTATAGGTAGATATAAATATAATCCATATAGCATGAAATCTATCGTTTTAAAATGTATAATTCCATAGCATTTAGAACCTTCACCAGGTTGTGCAACCACCACCACTATCTACTTCCAGGGTATTTCCATCACTCCCAAAAGAAAACCTTGTGTCCATTAGCAGTCGGTCCTATTTTCCACTCCCTGCCACCCTTGGGAACCTCTAATCTGCTTTCTGTCTCTATGGGTTTTCCTATTCTGGACATTTCATATAAACAGAATCCTACAATATGTGGTCTTTTGTGACTGGCTTGTTTGACTTAGCATAATGTTTTCAAGGTCCATCTATGATTGAAGCAAGTATTTGAACTTCATCCCTTTTTATGACTGAATAATATTCCATTGTATGGATATACCACATTTTATTTATCCATTCATTATATTTAATTTTAATTAGTGTAAGTTTGAATTTAAATGGCCATGCTTGGCTAGTGGCTACCATATTGGTCCATGAATATCTAGCACAGGAGGAATAAGCTTGTCAAAGTAGACAAATTGGTGAGACCTGAATTCCAGTTCAATGAGGCATGGTGCCCCAGTTTGGTTAACTAACTATGTTTTTGTGTACTTGTCTATCAAATGTGAGTGAGGGATGGATTCCTCCCAGCCCTGAAATTTCAAGATTCTATAATTTTTTTTAATGCCCATAATGTAAGATGTTGGGATCTGGGTAGAAAATGTGCGTTTGAAGGCCACCCATACTCATCTGAGCTGTTTAAACCTGTATCCTGGTTGGATACATAGGGAGAGTAGCTAGGGTTCTCTCAAGTTCCTTCTTGATGGTTTAGGTACTGTCTCTGGGAGCTGTGGGAAGTATCACTTCTCCTGGATTTCTGAGATCTGGGGACAATTACCTTAAAGACCTTCTTGGCCCAGGTCCTGAAAGCCTCTTCCTGCCCACAGAGCTCATCTCCTTCCCTCATCTTCAGGATCCTCTCCCCTCCTAACTCTTCCAGGAGGGTGTCCACGGCATGTCCAAAGGCGCAAAAGTGAGGGTACGCCCGTGAGCCAAGGCCGAACACTGAGAACCTACCAGGGAGACAACAGAAGGTCCATGCTAAGGGACTGTGGGTGTATGGGGGGCATCTGGTGTTATGGGTTAAATTGTGTCCCCCCAAAATTCATGTTGGAGCCCTAACCCCCCCATATGACTGTATTTGGAGATGGGGCCTTTAAGAAGGTAATTAAAGTTAAATGAGGTCACAAGGTGGGCCCTGATCCAATAGGACTGGTGTCCTTATAAGAAGAGGAAGGGACCTCAGAGCTCTCTCTGGACACAGAGAGAAGGTGACCATCTAGAAGCCAGGAAGAGAGGCCTCACCAGAAACCAACCCCACTGGCACCTTGATCTTAGACTTCTAGATTCCAGAACTATGAGAAAATATATTTCTGTTAAGCTACTCAGTCTGTGGTACTTTATTATGGCAGCTCTAGCACACTAATGTATCTGGTATCTCAGGAAGTATCATGTTTAGCCCATGGTGGTCAGGCACCATCTGTGGAAGGCCATCTTTACACTGAGAATCCTGGAGGCCTCTTCCCTTCCTCTGATCTCTGCTCAGTATCACCATCCTCAGGAGGAGATTCCAGTTGGTTCTAAGGAGGACAGGTTGGGGATAGCACTGACCAAAAACCATTGGCTGTTTCTTGTGTGTCCTTTTCTAAGCCAGACTAGTTGGGGGAATTAGTCTATGTTAGTGGAAGGCTTGGATTTCACAAGTAACACAACTAGATTAGTTTTAAGTACAAAGACAATGAAAACTATAACACAGCAGTCCTCGGGGACCTGTACTAACGGAGAGACCAGAGGACTTGTCGTGAACACATCAAATGTTGGTACGTAAGCAGTTTCTTCTAAAAGAGGATAAAACAGTTATAAACGTGCTGGATCCACCCCTTGTGATGTCTGTGAAATCAATTTGCTTCACAAACCCTGTTTGCAAAGATATCACCAAGAAAATGTTGGTGTATGAACCAGTGGGGGTCAAGTTAATGAGATTTTTCTCTAGGTTGACTGAAGTATGAGAAGTGGGGGGCTGTGTCCCAAGTGGCCCCTCTTGCCAGTTTATGCGGACACGTTCTGCCACATTTCCAGGGCATGGTCCTGGTTGTAGCTCTAGGCCTCACAGGGGCAGGAGCAACAGATTCACAAACAGGATGAGGATATGCCACCTCGCCCTGCCCCACTCTTTCCTTGGGTCAGAGTGTTCTGCTGTAGACTGTCATGTCAAATAAGCCAAGAATTGGAACTATTTAACCTGCTCCATACACAGTCTGGCCCTGCCCTTGAATTTCTTTTTTAGGATGATGGGGACAAGACAGTGACAGATTGAGATGGGGGAGGAGGGATGGAAGTGGGGGAAGTTGGGAAGGGTCTCTCCATCACCAAAGAATGAACTTGAGGTGGGTCTAGGTGTCTCACAAATCAAACACAGGTTAACATAGGTTAATATCCACTCCTCTCAAATCCAAGTACATATTATCTCATTTAACCCTTCTCTTATTTCCTACACTCCTTTCCCTGGGGGCTCCAGAGCATTTCCAAACAAAGCATGTGGGATTAGGAAGCATTTCCCCCCATCACTCCTTAACCCATGATTTTCCTGGATCTGGATACCTCACCTTTTCCTTGCAGGGTGGTGGCCTGACATGTAGAGAGAGGTGGTGACCAGCTGTGGACTGACTGGAGGGGCGCCAGGAAAGGGCACCCCTGCCCCAAGCCATCGGCCTTAGTCTTAGCCCAGTGCAGATTTGGAAACTCCTAGCACTAGTCATGTTTTGTGGTTAAGGTGTTATTTCCCAAATCTTTGTTATTAATGTTTGTGATGTCCGCCATATTTGACTACCACTAATATGGTTAATTACTTATCAGGGTTCTTTAACTTGCTTTTAATTTTTACTCACTAGCTCATCAAACCCAGTGCTATGATTTGAATGTTTGTGTCTCCCCAGCATTCATATGTTGAAATCTAATCCCCAAACATGATGGTATTAGGAGGTGGGGCCTTTTGGAGGTGATGAGGTCATGAGGGTGGAGACCTCATGAATGGGATTAGTGCCCTTATAAGGGGCTGAAGAGAGCAGAGTTCTTCCCTTCCACCAGGACACAGCCAGAAGGCACCATCTATGAACCAGAAAGCAGGCCCTCACCAGACAGCAAACCTGCTAGTGCCTTGATCTCAGACTTTCCAGCCTCCAGAACTGTGAGAAATAAATTCCTGTTATTTATAAGCTACCTCATTTATGGTATTTTGTTACAATAGCCTGAATGGTCTAAGACACCCAACTCTTGTGTTCACCAAAGATGGTTCAAGTGGTTGATTCATTAATATGTTTCTCAATGGACCTGAAGACTTACACTACGTTCACTACTAGACTCACATTTCCATTACAATATTCATCTTATGATTTCAAAATTCCTATTTTAAGCTTCCAAACCAGGTGTTGGCAAACATCTTATATACTGGGCCAGAAAACAAATATCGTTAGGCTTGTGGGCCAAGAAGCAAAATCAAAGCTATGATATTAATTGAAACTTATATAACAAGAAAGAAAACAAATTCCTGCACTTTTTAAAATTGACACAATTAAAAACATAATAGTAATAATTGAGTATGATTTTTTGTAATACAGATCTGCTAATGAGAAGAATGAAATTCTCTTTTGCAGGGGAAAACATTCTGCTTAATTGGAGTTCAAAGATAATATTATCTATTATCAAATTGATTACAAATTTTCATCTATAAAAAAAACATTCTTAGTTCATGGGTTGTACAAAAACATGGAGTGGCCAGTCTGGATTTGGCCCCAGGCATTCATCTGCCAACTCCTGCTGCGATAGATTTAATAAGGGAAAAATGAGTCTAACTGTCAAACTCCAGAACTGATGTTTCAATGTCCAGCTAAAAAAACGTACTGGTGTCAAAACCGTAGAAGGCACAACACCAAGAGTGAGTCCTAATGTAAACTATGGATTTTGGCTCAAAATGATGTATCAATGTAGGTTCATCGATTCTAACAAATAGTGGGAGAGGCTGTGCATATGGCGGGGCAGGGGGAAAAATTAAAGCCTGCTAAAAAAAAGTCCTGATGGACATGATTCTTCAATACCTAGGAACCTTGTGATCTGTATCGTCTACCAAGTATTGCTCTGAGCAGTTATGGAGAAGGCTCAGTTAGCAAAGGTCAGAGGGATTCGTGGCCAGGCCTGAACGTTCTTCCTACAGGGCTGCCCACATCAGCCTTGTCTGATCAATATTCATGAGACCAAAGGGTTTGACATCCCACTTTTATTTCTTTCCAAATACCCATTAAACTGAATATGAAGCTGTTGAAATACAAAATATTTGTCTATGTGCCACCTAAAATTATCACATGGTATGTGACTACACTTTGGAAAATATGGGGTTAGGCCAGTATTTTTTAAATCTGACAGCACAGTAGAGCCAATTGGGGAGATTTAAAGGAAAAAAAGAGAAAGAAAGCAATGCTTGTGCCCAGTTTTAGACCAATTTCATTAGAGTCTCTGGAGGTGGGGCTTGGTTATCATATTGGTATATCGCAAATATCCCCAGGTGATTCTGATGTGCATTCCAGGTTGAGAACCACTGGGTCATGGCAGGTTGTCTCCAGAAGCTTCTATTGAGTGTTAAATGTATTCATTGGGAAGGGCAACTCATTGAGCAATATCCAGGGATTAATATCCTTCAGCACAAATGATGGGGTGAATCTTGGGTAATGGGGACCTAGGGAGTGTGTATAGGAAGAGAAGTCACTGAAAGGATCAAATACAGAGCTTGAAGAAACCAGGCAGTGTGCTTTAATGGGGGAGGGGTCCCAGACAGCCAGGAGGCAGCTGAGTTTACAGGAGATAAGTGGCCATGGAAGGGAGACCTCCCTCCCCCACAACAAGGAGCCCACTTTGCAGCTAGGTCCAGCTCCCCAAGAGCCTTAGTCTCTCCTGAACCCCTGGGCCCCTTGCTCACCTCACGTTGGCCAGGGGTCCAGCACTCTCAAAGTTGTCCCTGAGGTCAGGCCCATCACCTGATGATTTGCGGGAGTCAGAGTAGGAGGAGACGCTATTAAATCGGACCTTGTAGCTCCTGCCAAAATGAAGCAGTCTGTGAGCTCTGGCTTGGAGCCCCTTCCGGAGATCAACACTCCCATTGGATCTTCAAGTTACCAGTCATGGTTCTAGGATCTTCTCTTGTGTGTTGAATCAAACTACAGCACTCCTAAAGGCCTCTTCTAGAATGTGCTGACTTACCCATGCCCGCTGCAATGGTAACTATCTACCTGCACTTGACCCTACCTGTACTTGTATTTAAAAGATCACTGGACATGTTTGACTTAGGAAACTTGAGACCCATAGAGTTAAAATGATTTAATCAGTAAAAAGCCAGGAATAGAATTGACCACCCCCTAACCATTAAACCAGGCTTCCTTGCTTCCCAAATCTTAAAGTGCACAAGAATCATCCTGGGATCTTGTTAAAATGCAGATTCTAATTCAGTAGGTCTGGGACAGGGCCTGAGTGGCCGCATTTCTAACAAGCTCCCAGAAGAAGCCAATGTTGCTAGTTGTTAGACCTCACTTTAATTTAAGTAGCTTGGAACTAGTCCGGTGCTGTCCATTATAGTAGCCATTGGCTATGTGTGGTTATATAAATTTAAAATTAAATCAATTCAAATTAGACACAGTAAAAAATTCTGCTCCACACTTGTACCAGCCACATCTCAGGTGCTCAGTAGCCGTGCATGGCTAATGGCTGCTGTATTGAACAACATAGCTATAGAGCATTTCCATCATTGTAGAAAGTTCTACAGACAGTGCTGGACTATCCCATTCAACACTCTTCTTCCATAAAGTTATGGACCTTAAACATTTCAGGCGTCTGTCACATTTCACATTTCAAGTAAACATGAAAACTATTCAGCACTGATGTCTGCTACGAAAAAATTGCATGTTTTTATTAACTTGTTTTGGAGGGGAAGAAACATGTCATTGGAACTCAAGCTTCAGCATCAGAGGCTCAGGAGCTTTGAGACTTAAAAAAAAATCCAGTTTCTCAGTTTTCCTCTAAAAGTGGTAAGTTTTGTGCTCTGACAAGGCAAAAGCAAAACAAGGCAAAACCAAAAAATATCCCCAAGACCAACCAACAAAACAAACCAAAAGCCAAAAACCCCAAACCAAAACCAAAACTCCAGATCAAAATCCAACACACAAATCTGAGTATAAAAGACAAAAAAAAAAAAGAAATTGTGCATTCTGGCAGCAGGGTTCCTAAGCTGGATGTTCTTCAAAGTTTTTGCTCCAGCATCAGGAAAGTTCTAAATATATGCAAGTGTATTTTCTGCCCTAAAATTGTCTCACATTGAGTCATTCCTCCAAATAAGTCATGCAACATATCAGGGGGTGGCTGTGTTGTTAGTGGGGGAGGGATGGTTGATGGTTGTGGGGCAAAAATAACAGCACGTGTATTCATATGAGGCCAGAGGTCTTTCCAAATGCTTTCCCCTTTGGTATCCTTCTCTATCCTTTGATCCTCGGTAACAGCTTCCAGAGGTGGCCAGGGAAGAGATAATCTCTCCCCATTTGGCAGATGAGAAAGACTGAGGCCCAGAGAGGTCAAGGTTGCTTAGTGAGTTAGTGGCACAGCCTGGGTTAGAACTCAGGTCTCGTTGAGACCTGGATGTGGCCTTGGATGTTCAGGCATTCGGCATACATGCACACACATGCACACACGCATGTTCACACATGTGCACATATGCATGTCCACACATGCATGCTTGCAGGCACACAGGCATGCACCCACACACTTGCACACACACACACACACACATGCACATGTGTGCACACACACGCACTCTACCTGTGCTGGCTGTCACGGGCTGCAACCAGACTGTGGGCTTCTGTGTCACCATGGGGGAGGGGAGGCCCTTTACGGGGAAAGAAACGCAAGGGTTCCGGGTACCTAGAGGGGAGAATCGATGGTGCCCTATCTCTCCCCGAAGGAGGGGTGAGGGGAAACCTGCTGGGAGGCCACTCAGGATGGGGGGAGAAGGGGAGGGGCAGGGAGAGTGAGGACTAAGATGCTGGAGTTGAGTGCAGGATGAGGGCTGACCACCAGGGACTCAGTGGTTGTCCATTCCCTGGGTATCAAATGTACGTGAGTTTGGCAACATGTGCTCAGCACAGAGAAAACCAGGAGGGATGTTCTGCATAACACAGCTTGTGAACAGCAGCCAGCTACAGCATCTGATGCTCCTACCTGAAGACACAGGGACCTGCTCCATGCTGGAACAGACACTGAGTTGGCCTCTTTGAAAGCAGCTCAGTGTGCACATGCCATATGTTCTATACATTACAGGGGATATAAGGGCTTTTCAAGGGTAATTTTTATTACAGATGTTTTTCACATTATGAAATCCCTTTAGAACTCAACCCCACATTAGATGCAATTCCACTGTGAACAACTTTTTGACCACAGATATTTTTCATCTTATGAGGTACTGTATCTATCTTTTGAACTCAGCCTTAGGTGCAACTCCACATTAGCTGCAGCTCCACTCTGAGCAGCCGACAGAAAAGTTCTAAGGAAAGAAGCTCCTTTCACTGATTTTGAACGTGGGTTTCCAAAGGGGGAGAAAGAATAAGAACTGGTATTTATACAGTGCTCTTAATTTCCACAGGACTCTCACATCTAGTTTCTGATTTGATTCTTACCGATTAGAAAATTAAGGAAGGTATTATAACCCCTGCTTGATGGAAAAAGAAACTGAGGCACAGGGCTATGAAGTGACTTAGCACCAAAATATCAGCCCCAGTGCACCGCAGATACCCACCAGCTAAAATGGGCCACAACCACCATCCAGAAGGCAAATGTGATCCCCAGGAGCTGAAAGACAATTTCCCCCCAGGGGGAGTCATGTGACATTGGAGGGGCCATTTACTTACTTCCTCTCCTCCTGCACAGAGTTGGGGTGTCTCATTTCCATCAAGGCACAACCGAATTTCTGGAGGCCGAAACAGACGAGCAAAATGTGAGGCATGCATTGGTAAATCCAGACAAGGGGCAGGCACCGAGGGGCTGGGGTCCTGACTAGCTAGAGAAGCCTGATATCCGGGAGCCAGGATGTCAGGTGTGGCCGGGGGCTCAGGCTGGACAGTAATGCTTGAGCCGCACATGCAGTGGAAGGGCTGTTAAAAGGACTGTAAGTGTGGATCCCCTACCCCAGCACACGACTCCCCTTGGTAGCTGCTGTGGGTTGAATGTGTCCCTCAAAGGTTCATGTGTTGGAGACTTGATCTCCATTGTAACAGTGTTAAGAGTGTGGGAAATCCTATTATGGAAATTGAAAGGTGGGTTCCTTAAGAGGTGATTAGATAGTGAGGACTGTACCCTCCTGAATGGATTAATCCATTGATGGTTTAGTGGGTGGCCATGGGTGTGGTTCTGATGGCTTTAAAAGGAGACCGAGTGAAGAGGTTGGCTCTCTCTTGCTCAGCCCATTCACCACGTGATACCCTGAGTCTCTGTAGAGAGTCTCCACTAAGACCAAGGCCCTCACCAGATGTGTTCCCTGGACTTTGGACTTCCCAGCCCCTGAACTGTAAAAAATAAATTCTATTTCTTTATAAATCACCCAGTTTCAAGTATTGCATTATAAGCAACAGGAAACAGACTAATATAGTAGCCTTCTTGCTGTAAAAATATTGTCTCTACTTCCTCTCATCTGGAGCAGGGGACAACAAGCTCATGATTGGAGCATCCATTCCAAACAAGTAGCTCCCTTAGGTGATGACAGTTTCTCCAGGGACCAGCTAACTAGTGGACACCAATAGACTGAGGCCTTGGAATTGTCCAATATTTTTGCATAACTGGCTTTGAGGCTCTGGGAGGGCTTGCTACTGAATAGCAGGTGTAGGGAAAGGGTCCAAGCTGTGGCCTGTTCTTCCCACTGTTGGAACCACATGCTAGAACAGGTGAAAGATTATCTCACCTCCCCATTCTCAGGGGGGTCTCCATTGCCAAAGGTGCTGGTAACCACCAGGACCAGAGTTTCATGTTCCAGGTGCACAATGTCATATTCTTCCATGGACATCACCTAGGTGGCCAAGGACAAGGGCAAAGGCATAGGGTGGGGGAGAGGAAGAAAGAAGGTGGCAAGGACAGGGAAGAGGTGGGAAAGAACAGAGTGATGGGGGAAGGAGAGGAGAGAGAAAGGAAGGTGAGTCATTTTGAGTCATCTCTTCTGGACGGAGAACCAAATGTTCTGGGTTGTCTGTATTTCAATGGGACCAAGCGGGTAGAACTAAAAGCTTCTTTGGTAGCGTGAGACTTTACTATGGCCACTGTGGCCTGAAGGATTGTAGACAGTATGGGACAATGGTCCAAGGGGTTGGCTGCCAGTAGAGACAGACCTTGATTGAAGCCCTTGGGCTTCTTACAACGAACCAATCCCGGGTCCTTCCTGACCACATTTAGGCTGGGAATGACCTGGCTGGATCTGACCAGGTCTGCTCAGCCTCCTCTCTACTCCTCTTTCCAGCAGTGTGGAGCACCTGGGCCAAACAAGCCCGAGAAACCTGCCTTAGAGAAAGATGGTTGCTCTGTATCTTAGCATCACCTGCACGACATTTCTCAAAGTAGGATCTAGGGAAGCCCAGTCTCCCAAGATGTTCAGTGAAAATAAGTGATCCGTGGTCAAATATGTTTGGGAAACACTTATATTCTATCCTCTCCTCTTTTGGTGATTACAGATTAAAGGCTCTGAGAAGTCCCACAGCAATGAATTCCACTGAGCTGTATTTAATGCAGAGCTTACCAAACTGACCTCAGAATGGTTTCTTATAAACCTTCTAATGCTTTGCTCTAGAGATAGGAAGTTTGTTTTGTGTTTCCTAGAGAGTTCATGGGGGGAGGGGCATCACAGTCCCCTGAAATTTGTGCAAATGTGTGCCTATGTGCTGATGGGCCTCTTCAGGTGTCCTTTTACCCACTGCCCTTTCAGTCACTGGGTCCTTTTCCAGTGACTTCTCTCCCTCTCCTTCCCATCTTTATTTACCATAAGTGGTTGAGGAGCTGGCACTGCCTCCTACCCACCTTGGCATCAAAGGCATGTTTGAAGATCTCACACAAGGTCTTGGCATAGGCCTGCGATTTGCCTGTCTCTGTGGCATAGAGGATGGTTGCCTTGACCCTCTTGGCCATTGCCTGCCCCATCAGCTTGGCTGAGAATTTGACAGCTCTGGGGGGAAAGAGGATGGAGACAAAAATAGGAAATGAAGAATGGAGAGAAGATTGCGGGTTGGGACTTTTGGGCAAGAACCGTGATCCACGAAATACAACAGGACAGGAGAGAACTTACTGTCTTGGTCTTCGATAGCTTCAGGAGTCTCCTCAGAGACACCCGAAGCCCCTGAGTTTAGATACCATATGCACTTCTTTATTAAATGCCCCAGAGCAATTAGTCACAAGTTAAAATGGTCGGTTTTGTTAGTTTGTTAATTGATTGATGGATCCCTGTGTTGAGAACCTTGGTTTGCCAAGCATTGCCTCAGATGGTGATCATTCATCCATTTCTTTGTTCATTAATTCATTCATTATTTGTTGAGTGTCTAACTATGCGTTGTTACAGGAGCTGAAGAACATTGGAACTTGGTTATGGACAAGCAGCTGTCATGGGGCTTATACTTGTGTGTGTGTGTGAGAGAGAGAGAAATGAATCCCTAATAGGTCACCAGGCATTGAATTAGAAGGGACTTTAGAGGTTTGTAGGTCCACAAAGGAAAGGACCAGGTCTGATTTATTCTGCAATGCTTATCCATGGTGTTGTACAGAGCCCAGTACCTAGTAGGCACTAAATAAATATCTATCAAAAGGAAGTTATGAATTTTAAAAGATGCTGGGGAGTTTAAATGTCAAGCCCAGCCTCTTTCCTACTAAACGAAGCCCAAACCCTTCCTTCCCTACTACTGGGCAGGGGGGCCAGGGTGGCAGGCAGGCCAGGGCCTCAGGAATACCTGGGCTCAACTTCCTAGCGAGCAGCCCTCTTCTAGCTAGGAATCTCAGTGTAGACAAATTGCTAATTATCCCCCACCTGGGGATTATAGGTGGTAAATTCATCCCTCTTTAAAATCAGGGAAACCACCCACTCTGCAGGAAGACTCCGAACGAAGGGGGAGAAACAGAAAGGAATAAAAGGTGCCTGGAGAATTCCCTTTGAATGATCTGAGCATAAAAATACAGCTATAATTAACTCCCATTGTTTCTACCCCAAACTTAATAATGCAATTAATGTTTCAAATTTCTCCCTCCCTTCTTCCCCCAAAGACAATCGAGCCGAGGTGAAGCCAAAGGTTGCTCTCCCTGAGAATATTTGAGTACTCTTGTTAGAAAAAGGATGGCTGCTGATGTGTTTTGCTTGGCTGGAGGACAGGATTAAGATGGAAGGAGAGACGGAAGGAGAGAGGAGAGAGATCCCGCAGGCTGTATTAGTGGAGCCTCGACCTCAGTTTGAGTCCCTGCAAGGCCCACCAGTGTCTTGCCTCTGGGGTCTAAGGCACAGATAGCACCTGTTGTACAACTAGATGCTATTCATAGAGATTCCAGACTCGAGGGGCCTGAGAAAAGACAGTACATGCCCGTGTCTTCTGCCAGAAAGTTAGTTCCAAGCAGGTGTCTCTGCTGAGCGGCTCAGTGGGGTTCTCTTTCTTTGGGGAGAAGGCTGGCATCCCCACTAAATTATCTCAGTTGACCCCACCCTGTCACTGGTCCCCTGGCTGGCTAAACGTTCTTCAGGTAAATTACTCCTCAGTTGTTTTGGTCCATAACTCCCTTTCTTCTCCTCTTTGCTTAGTTAAGCCTAAGTCATCTCATTCCTCAGCTCAATTGTCACATCCTCCAGGAAGCTCTCCCCAACTTCCCAAACTCAGTGAAGTCTCTTTTATGGTACCATGAACCATTCCTCGATGGCACCTGCCACAGCTGCAATGTTGACTGTATTTGTGTGATTTGGCAAATGAAGGGCCATGGGCTCCTTGAGAGCAGGGACCACATTCATCTAGCTCACCATGACATCCCTGGAGCCTAGAACAGTGCCTAGACAGGGAAGGTATTCGGTACTCATTTGTTGGCTAAAGGAATGAATGACTGAGTAAATGAATGAGTGAGTGAGTCAGCGTTGGGTCAGAGGGCTCTCTAGGCAGTTGTGTGCTGGAGCCAACCCACCCTGGCTCCTTTCTACTCTGGGTTTGATGACTTCCTGTTGGTAGCTTGAAATTGGCCATAGCAGGAGTATTTACACCATAGAAATTGGCAAGCATTACAAATCAATGCATTATTATTATTATCATTAGGAGAGCTGGCTCACTAACATACCACTGCCTCCAAGACAAGAATTTAGGAAAGCAAGGCAAGGAAAGGGAGGTTGAGAAGGAGATTTGTGGCAACTTTCACATCCCAGACTCAGAGGCAAAGAAGGCACAGGGGGTTGGAGAAAATGGAGAAACCTTACCCTATGAGAGGTGAGACGGCACAAGCATCTGCCCAGCCTCCTTTCTGGGGGCTCTCTGAGTTTGTGGGCACATCCATCCACCCACCCACCCACTGCAGAAGACTCACTCTGCCAGTTTCTTGAAGCCGATGGCCCGCCGCTTTGTGGGGGTCCCATTGGTGCCTTTCCAGACGTGGGTGTTCCAAGGATCAGGCTGGGAAGGAGAGACAGGACAATGGTCACTGCAGTGAAGGAATGTGGCTCCTCTTGGAGATGCTCAGGGCTCCCTGGGGCTTGTGGCTGCCCAACCCTGAGCCCTTGAAGGGAAGTTTCTGCCAATAGTGACCACACGGGTCTTTGCACACAGAGGGGCTGGTCCAGCCCCCCTGTACTGTCCTGCTAGCCCCTCCCACTCAGTCCTCAGTCCCTCTCAAACTTTCTTTTTGTGACCCCTGTTCATTACTCATTTTGTCTCTACTGGTCTTCAGCTAAACCGGTGCTGTCCAATATGGCAGCCACTAGCCACATGTGGCTATTGGGCAGTTGCATGTCTAAGCGCAAGCCTGAACTGAGATGTGTCTAAGTATAACATACACACTAGATGTGGAAGACTCAGCACGAAAAGAGGCAGGGAGGGGGCAGGACCTGGTATTCGAAGGAAGGGGTGAGCCGGTAGTTGAGCATTTCCTGGTGGAAGACGGGGGTGATGCTGCCAGACATGGGGGGCACAATCCACACCCAGTCAGCAGGGCAGCCCCCCCGACAGCGGTATTCATTCTCCATGTGCTTAATGAAGGACTCGGTGGCAGAGTGATGGTCAACAATGGTCACTTTATCACTCTGTGGGAGAAGAGGGGACAAGGAGTCAGGAGGTAAGAGAAGTTGGGGTATTTTGGAAATCCCTTCCCCATAGAGCAGTGTTTCCCAAGGGGTGTTCTTGGAGATGATTTTAAGCAGTGTGAAGTGAAACAGTGATTCTCTTTGCAGTTCTTTTTCAGCCTTCCTAATTATATGCAGGAGAAAGTCTCTGTTTTGTGCTAATGTGTCTTTAACACCTTTCTTGCCAATCTTCCTTCCTCCTTTCTTTTTTTTTTAAAAATAAATAATAGAGGAGAACCTCAGGCAGGATCTAGCTAGAATGAACAACTTTATTTTGTTTTCCTTGTGTTTATTTGTTTATTTACTTAATATCACAATTACCTTGTTTCTATGGCAACCAATACTGGCTCTCCATTTGTGGTGCTGATATAAAACCCTCTTAAAATACACACTTTTTTTTTTGTCTTTTGTCTTTTTCCGTGTCCGGCAACGGATCGCAACCCTCAGTGACGCCCCCGTACTGGACCGGGGACCAGCAACGGGATCGCAACCCTCGGTGTTGCTTCCCGCGCCTCGCTCAGCCAGTGAGCGGGAACCGGTCTGTATGTGGGATCTGAACCCTCGGGTGGGAGCGCCGCCGCGCTTCCCAAGCGGCGCACTATCCAGTGCGCCACCGGGCCAGCCCAAAATACACATTTTTAAGCTACAAAGAGGAGTTGATTGAAAGTAAAATGAGTCAATCACAGCAGATGTGGGAGGACCGAGTGTCCAGGACCTGCTACAGTTGGCAGGCCTGAGTTCATACCTTGTCCAAGCGATGTTTCCCTGCCTGCCCACGGAAACTGCCTCCTTCCTGCGCTTTCTTTCTTAACCACTCACCTCACTGACATCCCTGCTGTCTCTGGCTCGCTGGTCTTTGTACTAGTCCACTGGGCCACCAAGCCATGTCCCATCATTTCAATGACTCCTGAAACCTCACTTCCTCCAGGGTTAGAGAGGAGGGAGGTAGCCTCTTCCCTCTTGCCCTGTCTCAACCTGTCTCTTCCCTGTGACATTCCTCAGTGTACCCATTCTCCCCACCCCAGACATGGGGACCTAGGGTTTCTATTCATATCTATCCACAACCCATGGCTTGATTTAACATGTTCATTCTACTGCCTGTGTGTTTTCTCATGTGTCTAGAGGTCTAGCTGTCTAGACTGCAAGCCTCCGGAGGACAGAGATTGTCTCTGCTATAAAGAGTGACTTCAATTCTCTATGTTTCCCGGTTTGTACAGGAGAATACTGGTTTATGCCTGTTGTCCTGGCATGATTAATAGTGTCACCCTTAGCTCTCAAAAGTGTTGTGGTTTAGGTGACAACTTTTCAGCCATCCTACTATTATACCATTTACCCCAGAGCCACATGCATTTAAGGACCTATATGTTACTTACAATGATGATGAGTGTTTGTCTCTGTTATGTGAGAGTCTGAGTCCCTATGAGATGACAAGACACAGAGGATGCCTGTCATCTCAATTCTAAAGAGTTATAAGCAAAACGTCACAACTCCCCTGCCCCACCCCCCAATCTGTTCATCTCTTCATCAAAGGGTCCCCACCCAAGATCCACACTGGAGAGAAAGGCATGTAGGACAAGAAGTAGACCATGCTGGTGAACAGAGTCCCCCAAAGGCGGTTTCTGGTAGCTAGGCTTCTGGACCCTCCGCACAAAGACTCTGAAAGGTTTTAGCTCCCTTTTGAAGCATGACCCTGGTGGTACGGGCCCTCGTGCTACCTGGAAGCTGTAGAGAACTGCAATATTGATCTCCACCAGAGCCTGGTCCTTCCACAGGGATGATGTCTTCCTCATGTCCAAGTTCATCTTCTTGGCCACTTCCTGAAAGGGGAAGGAAACTTAGACTCACAGGCTGGGGCACCTCTGGGTTTGAGACCGATGAGGGACAGGGCTAGCATCATTGATGAATTTCTTAATTAATTAATCAACTCATTCACAGGCTGATTAACTCACTGTCACTCAAAAGATTTTTTTATTGAGAACCTACCAGCAGCAGGAAACTGGAGACTTGGCTGGCCCTTTAATCACTAAGCTTATGATCTACTGGGGGAGAGAGAGAGTCAATGTTGTGATGAATGCTAATTCCTAGGAAGAAAACAGGACAAGGCAATGGGATAAAGAGTGATATGGGGGCTGGGTTAATTCGGCTGCAGTAGTCAGGGAAAGCCCACTGAGGAGACGGCACTCAGATGAGACCTAAGTGATGAGAAGAAGCAAGACATTTACAGATGTGGGGAGGGAATGTTCTAGGCAGAGAGAACATCACATGCAAAGTTCCCAGGGTAGGATAAGGCTTGGGGCATCTGAGATGCAGAAAGAAGGCCAGAGTGCTCGGATGGTGGTGAGAAAAAGTGCTGGTGGGAGAGAGTGGCAGAACCCGATGATGCAGGACCTTGAAGGATGTGCCAAGGAGTCAGGATTTTATTCCAGATGTGATGGGGGGGTGTCTATAGAGCATTTTAAGCAGAGATGTGGGTCTGGGAGTGACACCATCTGCTTTGTAGTAGGCACATGTATGGAAACTCCCATCCATCCTGTTCCATTCCTGAAGTGGTCAATACTTAGAATCTAGACCATGGGTGCTTTGAGCTCACAAGGACACCTGATGGACAGATGGGGAAACTGAGGCTCAGTGAATTACCTAGGCTTATCCAAGGTTTACAGAACCAGTTGGCCTCAGCGTTGGAGCCCAGGGAGATGCCAAATGTCCAAGACCTGGGAGCTGTACCCTAACAAGCCAATGCTTTTGGCAAAATTACTTGCCAAAAAACAACTCATGATATTTATGTTTCAGCTAAAGCAGAAGCAGGAGCTGATGTCAGCAGTAGGGAAGACCCAACAACAGATCCACTAATTAAAGTCCCGCTTTTTGCTTCCTCTGTCAATCCAGTCACTGGTGGGAACCCAGGTCTCATTACGGGGCTAGAATGCAGCAACTTCTCAGGTTTGGGTAAATTGTTTCCTTGCCCCAGCTGTCAACACTTGTACATCATGACAGTTGGAATTGGAGGGTTAGGGTGGCAGAGAGTCTCATTTAACTTCCTCGGTGACTATTCTTTGCAACTGAAATGTAAGCAGAGATCAGAAAGAGGACTTATTAATTCACTCTTCGAGGCTGAGGTGTTAGGTTCTGCTTGGGGTTTTTATCAGTGACACATTTGCAGAAATTAAGAAATTGGCTGTTGCTTTACACAAGTATGTATAAAACTTGGGTTAGTTTATGAAAGCAGAAAGTGTGTATAGTTAGTCATGCTGCTATTGTTATTCTGCAGCATTACTTTGGTTTAAAGAATAGAAATTAAAAAAAAAAAACCTATGTGACAAATAAATCCCCAAATGCAACTTGAACCAGATGTATGGAAACTGCCTGAAATATCTTTTCCTTCCCTGCCAGAAATTTGTATGGATTAGTGGCTGCCCAGTAGAATCTTCTGGGGAACTTTGCAAAATGCTGATGCCCAAGCCCTCCCTCAGCCCAGTGACATCAGAAACCTGGGGAATGGGGCCCAGGAATCAAAAAGCTCCCCAGGTAACTTCAATGTGTGGCAAGGCTGAGGACGCTGCGTCTGTTTTCCAGGGTGACACCAGTGGATCTTAACAACACAAACCTTGGTTCCGAGTTTTAATCTTGGCTTCACGCCTTATATACTGTGACAAGGCTCAGCACTCAACTTCTCTGTTTCTCGGTGCTGTCTTTTGAAACAAGACCAACAGCAGCAGACTGTTGTTAGGGACACCATTTGCTTACAAAAACAGCAATCCTGATGCTTGCATCAAAGTTGAGCTTCAGGAAGCATCCCTCCAGTGCTCTTTAGTTGATGAGGATGACTCAGCCAGGGAGGGGACTGGACCCTCTACTGAGAAATGCTTAGAGTGGGAAACACTACCAACCCCCCATCCTTGTTTTTTCAGAAAAGAGACTAAATATGTCTCAGGTTTGTGGGTGATTCTCAGACTCTTCTAACAAGGTTTAACACCGAGAGGCAGTGTAGCAGAGTGGTTATGAACGTGGACCATAAAAGAGGCTGGGCTCACATCCTGGCCCTGCCACTCGCTGGCTTTGTGACCTTGAGCTTGTCACTTCAGCCCCCCAAAAGTCCTCAGTTTCCTCATCTGTAAAAGGGGGATGATCACACCTCAATGTTACGGTGAGGAGACAGTGAGCATGTAATACATGCCAAGTGCTCTGAACAGTGTTAGCACACGGTATGTGCTATGTGTGCGTTTGCTGTTGACAACATCACTGCTTAAGACACGGATGCCTCTGCAATTTCCAGGGGCTTTACCAGGACTGCAGTTCTCTTCTAACCCCTTCCACACTCCAAGCTCCAAAGCTCAGCTGTGGGGAAGGACTGCTGAGCCTGGGCCACCAGGGAGGGACCTTACCTCCAGGATGTTGTAGCGCGAGTTGTCACAGTAGTCACGGACACCGATCTCTGTTCCCATGTACCAGCCGCTGAAGGGACAGGCGCTGAATTCCAGGCCGCCAATCTCCAGAAGCATGTTGGACACAGCGGGGAGGCCATACCACTTCAGCCCCAGGTCCTTGAACCACTCAAACCTGCAGAGAGTAACACGGCCTAGCTCACCAGGTGGCAGGTGTCTCGTGGGCAGACGCCTGGGTGGGACCTTCTTAGTCTGGGGATGCTGAAATGCCAGGGAGTGACTGAGACTGAACCTGATTCCCGGGCCCCGCTTCAGGTCTGTTGAAACATGGTTTCTGCAGCTGGGGCTTGAGAATATGCATTTTTAACATGTTCCTCTTGTGATTGATGTCCAGGCCCAGGAACCATCACCTTGAGCTGCTATTTATCTTCCCAAACCCAACCTGAAAGTGAGTCCAGGAGAAAGTATGGAGACCTTGCTCTCCCTCAGCCCTCTGAGCTCCTTCCTACCCCAGGGCATTTGCAGGGGAAGATTCCTTCCTCCTGGAATCTTCTCCCTTACATCTGTGCTTCCAGAGCTTATCCATGCTTTAATTCTCAGCTAAAATGTTGCTTACTCTGGGAAGCCTTTCCTGACGCCCAGTTGGGTCTGGAGATTTCATGCTTCTTGGTGCCATAAAATTTCCTTTGCAACACTTTATTGGAATGAAGTAGTTATTTGAGTAACTGTGTATGTAAGATCTTCTCCTCCTTGAGATCATAAGCACCATTAGGGCAGGGACGAAGTCAGCCCCCAAAGCTAGCACAATGCTGGGAATGGCAGTGGGAACACTAAACTGTATTGAACGAGCCAATGAATGAATGTAGGCTAAGTTCCACCAAGGAGACTGGGTGGGTTCCCACATATCTAGAAAGTGTGTCAGCAGCCTCAGGACACTTGGACACCTGTTCCCACTCCAGGGCTGGGACTAGGGTAAGGCAAGTGAGGCATTAGCCTTGGGTGCAAAATTTAAGGGAGGGTTTACACCAAAAACTCAGTGAACAAGATCAATGCTATTATTTCTTTACTTATGAAATATTTTAAATTAACGCAACATTTAAAAAAAAATCAAAACTACTAATATATATATATATGTGCAATATCTGATGAACAAAATATCAAGACAGGATTCCACCCTATACTTGTATGACTCACCTCGCTTGTCTCACCCTAAGCCTCAGTCCTGAGCTGGATCCTGTCTTTACTTAAAATGTTGATATATTTCTCATCACGAATTAAAAAAAAATTCACTTTGATTTTAAAAAAACATGGTATTCACATATTCTTTATCTTGATTGCTATGGAGTGTTTTAGCAACCCCTGGGTCTAGTGCCTCTCTGTGTATTTCCTTCCCTCGCACAGTGCAAATGCTGCTTGTGCCGCTGGCCTCAGTCCTTGCACCTCCTTCCCGGCTCCAAATCCCTTTTGAACTTGATCCATACCAGGTCCCATAGAGTTCTGAACAGTTCCCTCTGTTGAATATTCCTGCCCACAATAAGACAGTAAGTGCCTCTGTTTTTCCAGCCTTTGGGTCTGGAGAAAGAGCAGGTTCTTGCTGATGCTTAGGAGTGGGGTGAGGACGGGAGAGTATGATTTAGAAAAGATGGTAGTCACCGGGCTGGTCAAGGAGGACTTATTGATTCTTGAGGGAGCCCACTCTGCGTAAGCCCCGCAGTGAGGACAGGAGGACAGTGAGGACAGGAACCAAGACCCCCTTTCAGCTTCTGTCTGGGCTAGAGAGAGAGCTAGGGAATAGCGGATGAGCGGAGAGGGGCACCGGGCAAACCCACTCGCCCTCCCCCACCCCACACAGCTCCTCTTACTTGGGGTGCCGGATGGGCACTTCCAACACCAGCTCTGGAGGGATCTGGAAGAGCTCAGGGTCGTTGCCGTTGGCCTGGAGCAGGAGTGGCAGGATATCGAAGCGGCCTCTGGGGGGTTTCCAGCCCTGCTGTATGCAAATCTGCAACCAGACCCAGCCATGTCATGTCACTGTGCCCCAGACCCTACAAACATGACTGTTATGTGGAAAGTGGGGGGTGGGGTGGGCAGTGTTCCAAATGCAAGCCCCCAGCAGTCACTTCCCCTAGAGGCTCTTGGGACACACCACCTCCTTTATAAAGTTCTCCCTGACATTACCATGTAATTAATAAAACTTCTCATGACACCACGAGAAAGGGAAAACCTTTCCTCCAGCACTGGGCTTTGTTATGTTTTCCAGGCTTCCATGCCCACTGGAAAGGGCAAGGGCTGAATCTGATTACTTGCTGCATCTGCAGTGTGCTCGCTCCATAAGTGTTTGTATTAGGTCCCATAAGACACAAAGAAAATCCACTGAATTTGATGAAAGCAGATGTATTGGAATTACTGCATGAAATGCACTTGTTAGATCAGTTGTCCAACAGAAATATGATGTGAGCCACGTAAGTAATTAAAATTTTCTAGTAGCCCCATTAAAAAAAAAAGAGGTGAAAATAATTTTAAGAATATATTCACCTTAAATAACATAGTTTAAATTCAAGAATATCTTTTAAATTAATATTAATTTATTAAGATATTACTATCAATAGATTCTAATTATATATTTGACATGTTATATAATATGTAACATTTATTAGTTCAATAAATATAACGAATATATGTAATATATAACATAATTAGATCCATTAACTATCAACATTAATTTATTAATAATAAATCATTAAGAAAAACATTAATATGAATATACCTAAATATATAATATACTTATTAGTCCAATAAATCCATTAATCTATGTATAAATGTATTAGCCTACTATATCCATGTTATTATCAGTTCAGCATGTAATTAATATGAAAGTGATCAGTGAGCTCTTTCCCACTCTTTTTTTAGTGTGCATTTTCACTTGTGGCACATCTCAGTTGGGACTAGCCAAATCTGAAGTGCTCAAGAGCCATGTGTGGTCAGCGGCTGCCCTATTGGACAGTACAGGATCCGAGAGCATTTCAGAAGGTATAATTATGTGGTTAGGTTTGGGATGATTCTTTATGTTGTTAGTAGAAAGAGGAAGCACTAAATCACGGGTTGGGGAACATGTCCCGGTCAGCGAGGTTTCTGGACACAGATGCGGGGAAGAGGCTATGGTGTTTATGTTCTGGTAACCACGAGGACAAGGTCAGCCAAGCACACGGTTAGCGCTCAGCCAACTGGAGCAGAGTCTGGCTGAGTCTAAAATGGCACAGGTGTGACTCCTGGTCGCTGTGGTTACAGCCCCCTCCCTCAGGGTAATAACATTTTAATAAGGAAAGCCTCACGCAGATGCAGGCAGCAGTGTTGAGGGAGGGCTTTAACCCCGAGCCTTGCCGGCCCTTTCTTGGAGGGGATACCATGGTGGAGTTTGAGGGGATTTGAGGAAAGGACAAAGGTGAGGCTCAGCTGGGGATGAGTTGGGCGGTACTAGGCCTGAGATCATTCTAGGCATGGGGTCTGCTGTGTATCTCCTGTGGGCCTAGTGTGTATACACTACCATGTCTTACCTGCACCATCTGTCTGCAGTACCACCTGGAAGGAACCCTGGATGGGGAAATGGTGGTGTTCACTTTCCTGGTAGCTTTTATAAATTGACTTGGGCTACCAGTAATTGAGAGTCGAGCCCAGTCTGAGAGCCCACTTGGGTGGCTAGAGCTGTTGTATAAGCAAACAAATGAATGAATGATAGGAATGGGACATATTACCCAACTCAGAAAAGGTGGACGCCAGACACGGCTTCCATGTACCAGCTCCTCTGATGCTGCTGGGAGGTGGGAGATTTGGCCCGTAGTTCTAGCTTTCCCTCCACTCGCTTAGTAGCCTTGGATAACTCACTTGGCCTTGGTGAGACTCAGTCTACCCATTTGGGAAATGGAACAATAGTTCCCATTAGGAGGGTTGGGTGAGGTAATGGCCTGAAAATGACCAACCCACTAGCTGTCAATTCATCAGAAGGACTGGAAACAGCCAAATGGAGCAGCAGGTCTGGAGAAGAGTAAACTACCCCCACTGGCTGCTCTCCCTTTGATGATAACATTACATGGAGAAAAGTCTGTGGATAAAGACAGTTTGGAGGCACGGGAGCCCGGGTGGAGGTGGGAGTGGGGGGCGTACATGCTCGCACCTCTGTGAACTCCACATTGGCTGGGTCCCCCAGGGTGGAGCCATCAGGCTGCTTGTAGCCGGCATAGCGGATGAGCTGGGAGTTCCAGACTCGGAAGTCATGCTTGCCGTCTGTCCTCTGTGGAAATATGGTGATAGCAGACCTGTGGTAGAGAGAGAAGGGATGCCTGGAATCAAGGTGGGACTTGCACTTTGGGGACATACTGGAAAAGATGCCACCCAGGCCAACAACTGCATGAGGCTCAGGGTGGATTATACCTGTCCCAAGGTCTCCAGGGCCGATGGAATAGCTTTTGGAAGGGAGGGACCTTGCCCTGTTCCTCTACCTAAACCACTACTCTGAGGAAGGGTGGAGGGTGGGAGGTCCCATGCTAGCTTGCTGAAGGAAGGAGAATGCTTCCCTAGCTGGAGACTTTTAAACAATACTGACTTGAGCCAGTCTCCCAGGGAATTCTTCTACATTCCCTGATTCCCTTTAATAATGCACTGCCAATTCCTAGTTCCAGTCTTTTTCTTGCCCTCATCTTTGATTCTCACCCAATGTGCTCACCCCTGTTCCATACCAAAGTTTATAGACTTATGATGAAAAAAAAAATCAACTTGCATTTGTACTCCCAGTTGTTTATTTAAAAGAAAACTTTTAAATAAAAAAAGTTTATTTATTTTTTCATAAGAGTAGGTCACCAGCCACTGGCCTCACCTGCCTAAACAGGCAACCATGAAGACTGTATTGTTATGAAGGAAGAAAGATGTTGCTGTGGGCTGAAGGCTCCAAGCTGGAGCCCTAGTGTCTTTGTGACAAGGGAAATCAGCAAGTGTTAGAGGTGTTAATGATGTCTCAGCACCAAACTGAGCCTTTCTCCTTGGCATTGTCAGGATCGGGAAAAGAAAAGAAAAAAAAAATGGACAGGAGAAAAACTTTTTCACGATGTGGTTCAATGCTATCTCATGCCAAGAGCTGCTGCCTCCTGAACTCACTGGTCCCACTACAGGTCCAAATCCCAGGCTATGGGAAACACTGTCCTGGTTTCCTGTGTCAGCACAGGGATCACATCTCAGGTGCAAACCATTGCTCACAGATTCTCTCTCATACACGTTCCTGCCTTGAACTTTGTCCCTGCTGGTCCCCTTGCCTGCAATCTCTCTCTCTTGTCCTACATATGCTCAAATTCAAGGTCTGAATCAAATTCACTTTCTCCACACAGCATCTCCTGTCTTGCCTAGTTCACAGGGCCTTTTTCTTTCTGAGCACATTTTTTAGGTCTTACTCTCTACACAAGACAATGCAGCATTTAATACTGCAGGGTGGTGCGTCACTCCTGGAGGTGAGTCTAGAATCTGGACAGAATGAGTCAAACATTTTTCCCTCCAGCATTAAGACATACAGATGTTTCTTTGATTGAGCACCAGATAAAGGGTGTTTGTGTAATGCATATTTTTAAAAAGCATGTTTAGAAACATCAGAATCACACACAGCAAGTGGGGTGTGCTGCTGACTCTATGTTCAGGAACCGAGACCAACAGAGGAAACAGAACACACTCATGCTGCCTGTCTCCTGCTTAGCCTGAGCACGATCTCACTGAAGGGCAGCTGGAATGTCCTGCACTGTTAGAATTACACATCTCTGTCCTTCCCTTCTTCTCTCTTGCTGCCTTTCTCCTCTTATGTATACATTATTCCTATACATGGTATACATTCTCTTCTGGCTCTCTCCTTGTTTCCAGACATGTGGCTTAAAACTTAAAAAAAAAAAAATCAGCTGAATATTTTCTCTAATAGAAGATCTCATGATGACCCCCCAAAAGATGATTGAAAAAACTGGAGGTGCACTGCCAGGCCTGGAGTGACCCCCTCCTAAAGCACCACTTGAAAACCACCAGCATAGCCCATAAGCTCCTTGAAGGCCTAACCTTGACCAGTCCTTCTGTCAGTATACATGGGAGGGTTCTGTCATAATTCTCTGAGGGGTGAGGTCTCTTAGGAAAGAGATCTAAATACCAATTCCTTATGCAGGCCTGGGCTTAGATTACAGGTCTTTTTCCTACTGATGGACTCAGTCCACTGGCAAACCCTGTTTCCTTCTCAAGGAAGAGACACATCCAAGAAAACCCATGCTTCATGCAAACTAGCCACTTCTGGATGAGCTCATTGTAGCCCGGGGGCTTGTGGGAATATCCCTGCAGTAGCCTCATGTGGCTCCAAGATGGGGTTGGTTCTCAGCAGCTGGGAACAGACACTAGGACAGCAATGGGTAAGCAGGATTTACAAGTGCAGCCGGCTGTCTGCAGGGCTCCAACTGTGCCCTTCCAGCAGCTTTTCTCCCAGCTGAGTCTTGCTGGAATAGAAGCCACCAGCCCACACTGATGCCTTGCTGCCTTGGCCTGCTCCCTGTGGTTTTGTTCTTTGTGTTGGTGCAAGAAGAGTCAAGGCGTGGCTTGGCTTGGTGGAACCTGAAGGAGCAGTCCCCATAGCAGCAAGAAGAGAAATTGCCTTTTAAACCAAAGGAGATTCTGGGGCAGCTCCAGGCAACAGAGCAGGACTAGGCAAAAGCAGGTCACCAGTAGTGATGGGATTTTCCTGTTTCTGGGAATCTAAAATATTTCTTCCTGCCCTCTCTGTGGGTGATATCAACCTGTGGGTTGAACGTGATGTTTGTTGCTGGTTTTTTTTTTTTTTTTTTTTTTTTTTTTTGCAAACTGCATGGGAGTCTGCTTCTCCCAGAAGAGAAGGAACATGGAGGAGTAGAAAGAAGATATAAATTCACCTCTCCCAGCTTGGCTCATCTCCCCAAGCGGGGGAGCATTTCCCCAGCAGGTGAGCCAACGCCAGAGCCAAGGCTCAGTGGTGTGGGGACATTAGACTCTCCGCAGCCCCCACTCCCCATGCCCAGCTGATCAGCTCACCTGAGGTTCCCTTTGTTGGTGGCATACTTGACGTGGTTGCAGATGTAGTTGAACATCCCATGAGCCGTGGTACAGTCTCGAGCATCAAACACCTAGAAGATGTGCATTACAGGATGTTGAACGATTGTTTGTTGAGTGAGTGTTTGATTGCCTCCTCTTCCCCTTTCCAGCTTCCCCAGTGCAGTCTTCCCATTTGAGGAGAACACAGAGCCCGCTCCAGCTGCTGCTGCATTGCAGGAACGAGTACCTCACTACTGACTCCCAGGCTGGGTTTTATATATTCTTTTTCTATCCTAATAACCAAGGTCAATCAGACCAGAAAAAAATGCTTAATAGTAGGCATGGAATGCGTGTGAATGCAGGAAAGGGATGATGAAAAGGACAGACTTAATGCGCTGGTTACATTTCCTGTTAGGTTACTAGGGGTTAGGAATAAAAAAAACAAAACAAACAAAAATCAAAGCAAAACCTCCCTGACCTTGATAACTAATCTGCTTCCAACTTTAAACTACTCCCTAGAATAAAATCATACCCGAGTACACAGAAAGTAATACCTTCAAGGAGTAGGGCAGATAACATAAATAAACAAAGAAAGTAGGTGTAAGGCAAAAGGGAGTGGTAGGGTCTGCGGTAAACTGGAGAGTAAAAGTCCTACCAGGAAATATGCAAATTCATTTTTTATAAAACACTGTGTTGGCTAAATAAGACATAAATATAGTCCAGATGTGGCCATAATCTGAGAATTTGGGGTCCCATGATCACCATCTCATAAGTCACCACGGCTATCACGTGCCCTTGGTAGGAGCTGACCCTTGTTAAAGCTCCATCCACTCTTCTCCCGTCCTCCCCTCACCAATGCACTCTTCAAGTACCTGAGCCTCGCTACCTACCTGCAGCTTGGACCACTGGATCCTGCCAACACAGCGGGAGGCATTCCGCCAGGCATGCTTGGCCCCGTAGATGAGCTCCGTGTCCTTGAGCTGGTAGGTGCTGGTGGTGTCAATCTCTTTGTTCACCTCTTCCAGCCTGTCCATGTGGGCTTTGGAGCCAAATCTGAGTGAGGAAGAAAGGGACATGGGAGCATCACCCTCTCTTCTGAATTAGAGGCTGGTGGAAGGGGTGAGCCATTACAGGAGGCCAGAAGCCACAGAAAGTCCTCAGCATAAAGCAGAGACTGCAAACCCAAATGCCCACAAAAGCCCAGCAGTGTACACATGACCAAACTGGCCGGGTGGGGACTGCAGCAAACAGGTGAGCCCAGGCTTTGTCCAAAGTGGGCCGCCATAACTGCTCCAGCCAATTGTCGCCTGATAGGAATGGGGGCACAGAGCTACCAGATCTTCTTCGAAGAGAAACTGGAAATCTGATTTTTAAAGAAAACTCTTTCAATTTTTAAATGTTGGCAATGATTTCAATTTTAGAAATTAAGAACAAATTATTACGGAAAATTTTAGGCTTATGAAAAGGTATACAGAATAATATAATGAACATCTATGCTCTAAGCCCAAGAAATATAGTCCCTTGGGGATGACTTCCCTGTCACAGTCTACTGTCTCCCCAGAAGTGACTGCATTTACCGATCTGGCATTTACCATTCTCATATTCGTTTATACGCTTGCCACATGTGTATCTATCCTTAAACCATGTACAATATTATTCTGTGTGTTTAAAAAGTTTATATAAGTGTTGCTGTACAGGAGGTATCCATCTACAACTTGTCCTTACTTTCTTTTGCTTAAAGTCATTTGTGACCTTCATCCCCATGAATGTGCAGAGCTCTAACCCCTTCATTTTTTACAGTTGTATAGTATTCCATTCCTGGAATACACCATGACTTATTTATCCACTCTCCTGTTGATGGAATTGAGGTGGTTTCCTGTTGGTTTTTTAATTGTAATTTTTTTCCTACTATAAACAATGTTTCCATGCACATTCTTATGCATGCCTTCTTGTGAACAGGTGTGAGTTTCTCTAGGGTACATCCCTAGGCATGGAATTGCTTGAAGTGTTTCAAATTTTAAGCAACACTTTGCAGGCCAAACAAAAACACTGCTGCGGCCAGATGTGGCCCCCAGGCTGCCGGTTTTTGACCTCTGTGTATGGCGGGGTAGAGGCCATATGCTCAGCCTTGGTTCAAATGCCTGCAAAATTGGAGCTGATGTCTTTGTTCCTATTCCATAACTTACCCAGTCTTCCCAGAGTCGACATACACTTACCTTTTAATTGATGAGTAGTACTGATCGATAAACTCTTTGGCGAGAGGGAAGAGCTGTTCTTTTGTGCGGACATCTTCAGGCCTTCGTATATGCTGAGGAAGGTGCATAATAGACCCCACACAGATGTGCTCGGTGCATCCTGTTTCCTGGAAGATTGAGAGAGATTTGGGCTATTGCTTGGATTTACCCGAGTGTGGCAGGTGTTGGGCTGTGGACCTGGATCTGATATTCATGGTAAAGTTCACCTGGTCCTTAATTTCCAGAGAGGATTTCTCAATTACAAGCTTCAAATCATTGTTGGAGGTGATCATCAGACGAGGTAAAAAGCAATAAGTAGCATTTTAAGGTTCCGAAAGTGTTTGCTCTGCTTAATTGGGGGATCAGAATTTTTGGACTAGGAATCAGACTCATTGGCACTAAATTCTGAAATATTTTCTGATTCCATGTGATTGAGAAGGAACTAATAGAGTGGCTATAGTAACTCATTTGAACCCATCAATGGTAGATTGCAAAAAGCAGCCCCAATTCTCCCCCTCCCTGTATTCGAACTCTTTGCAACATGCTTTTATAGTAACTCCCTATTGCCTTGCTCCTTGATTCTGGGCTGGGTTTAGCCCATTGAAGGTGGCAGAGGTGACCCTGTGCAAGTTCTGAGCCTGGGCCTCCAGGAACCTTGCAATCATGTGTGAACAAGCCCAAGCTAGCTTGCTGGAAGAGGAGAGATCACAAAAAACAGAGTTAGGTTATGGCCCTGGTTAGGGTCATCCTAGACCAGGCTTCCCTTGGCTGACCCCTCAGACAACTGCAAAGGTAAGAGCAAGCCCCACTAAGATCAACTGAGTCCAGTCCAGTTTTTTTTTGGCAGCTGGCTGGTATGGGGAACCGAATCCTTGACCTTGGTGTTGCAAGTGTTGTGAGGCTGTGCTGTAACCAACTGAGCTAACCAGCCAGCCCCCAATCTGTAGATTTTTGAAAAATAATAGTTAATTTTTAGCCACTAAGTTTTGGGGCAGTTTGTTATGCTGCAATAGCTAACAGGTACAGGTTGAGCATCCCTAACCCAAAAATCCAAAATCTAAAAATCTCCAAAATATGAAACTTCTTGAGTGCTGATATGACACTCAAAGAAAATGCTTAGTGGAGCATTCTTGATTTCATATTTCGGATTAGGGATGCTCAACTGGCATGTATTCTGCAAGTATTTCAAAATTTGAAAAAATCCAAAATCTGAAACACTTCTGGTCCCCAGCATTTCAGATAAAAGACACTCTTTGAACCTGCATGACATTCCTCCAAGAGGCCCATTTTCAACAAAAATTTAAAGCAATATGTTGATTTGTTGACTGTTAAAATATAAGAATTTAGAGGACACACTGTGAAATCAAGGAAGCATTCATTCAATACTCCCTCAGCGGTCAGACTATGAGACAAAGAGAACGTATTCACTTAGATTTTTGCGGGGACCAGGAACACAAATAAAAAGCATTTACATAATGGAGTCTACACCGGTGTTTCTCAAATAGGGATGAATTTCCTGCCCAGGGGATGTTAGGCAATATCTGGAGACATTTTTGGTTGTCACAACTTGTGTGTGGGGGAGTGGTACTGACATCTAGTGAGCATAGGCCAGGGGTGATGCTAAACATCCTTTACTGCACAGGACAGTCTGCCATGACAAAGACTTACCCGGCTCCATATGTGGATAGATAGTGCTGAGGTCGAGACCCTGGTCTACACGCTGCTGGGATACTCACCAACGTGCTCTTAAGGTGGAGGGTATCAGTGAGAACCACGTCAGTCTCCCAGTTCTTGACCTTGAGGAAGCGGGGACACTTGGAGGGGCTGCCATTCTTCGTGGGGGACTGTTTTCCCGAGGCAGGGGGCTGGAGGAGAGAATGAAGGTGGAACTTTAGGCAGGGTCTGGAGTGGACTAGAAAATCATCTCTCCTGGGACTGCAGAGGAATTCCTATTCCTGGAATCTGCCCCGAGTCACCAGCAGTTTGCACCACAAGAAGGATCCAACCCTCAAACCTGAGGCTGGGTCAATTTAGTTGAATTTCTGGGCCTTCCTATCACAACTCAAACTCATCATTTTTGGCAAATCGTGGGAAAACAGAAAGGTTGAAATTAGAAAGTTTTGAAGCACAGAATATTTTCCCCTAATTTCAGGTTTCTGCCTCTCAAAAATGCCAAGCTTGTTCTTGCCTCAGGGCCTTTGCCCTTATGGTTCCCTTTGTCTTGAACAGCTTCGGTTCTCCCACTTGTCTACACTCTGTAAACAAATCGGCCTGTAGGTGAGGGGGGCAGAGTCCCAGGCTGCCCCATGGTGGCCCACCCCTGATCAGACCTCACTGATCAGGTTCACATCTGTCTCGGGTGTTTCTGGGCAGTGTCTACCTGCCTGGGCAGAGGTGTGTCCAAGCATCGGGCAAGCACCAGTTTCTCGGCACCTGTAAGGGAGAGGCAGCAGGCACACCCCGATGCAAACGCCAAGCAAGGGAGGGAAGATGAGCCAACGCTGATGATGCTCATGCAGAGAGCAGACAAGTGGGCAGTGACCTCGAGGCGGGGTGTTTATACATTCGACTAGTATGTGCTGGAGGTAGGAGTGAAGGTGAGTGCTAGGAGATAAAGTCAGAGAGGAGGCAGGGCCCACATCTCATTGGCCTGGAGGAACTCAGGCTGGTGAGGATAGCTGTGAATTATGATTAAATGTGCTAAGTCCAGGAAAGAAGTCACAGAGAACTCTGAAGGACTAATACTGAAAACGAATGTTCAATGAGCACTTACTAGGTGCCAGCAATATATCACTATTTTACAGATGAGGAAACTGAGGCACACAGAGGTTAACTAAGATCACAGAGCTAGAAAGCTGGAGCCAGTAGTCAAATTCAGGCTGTGTGGCTTCCAAACCATGTCCTTTGCTGCTTGACTATCCTGCCTCTTGGCCATTATGAATCATTCATTCACCCAACACATGTTCATGGAGTATCCCCTATGTGCCAGGCCAGGCAGCAAGAACCAGAGCTGCAGTGACAAACTAGACAAATGTCATCTCTGCTCCATGGAGTCATGGTCCAGTGGGGGGTGCTGCCAATTTAATGAGCCATTGCAGTCGAGTGCAATAAATGTCATAACATGGGACATTGGCAGGGTATAGGGGACCCTGGGAGTACATAGAAGAGACACCTGACCCAGAGTGTATGACTTCTAAGTCAAGACCAGAAGGATGAGTAGGTGTTAGCCAGGCAAAGAAGGGGAAGCAGGGTCTTGCAGGCAGAGAGAACAGCTCATGCTGAGGTCCTGACGTGAGAGACCTATCATGGCCACCTTTATGGCCAGTGGAATAGAAGCTCTGTGCCAAAGCATCCGTGCCACTGTTAAAGATAGCTCCAGAAGAGTGCAGGAAGTGACAGAAGGGAACAAATGGAAGGTGCTAGAACTCATGACCTTCCACCTCTCCCTGCTCTGGCCAGACCTGGTCATCTCCAGTGGTTCCCATCTCCGTGCTGGGAGGTACCATCCATCTGTGCTGGATAAGCCATAGGTGGGAGCTCTCCGGGACATCAGAGAGATTCTTTATCCCCCACAACCAACCCCTCAACAACTCCCATCCATTTTAGCCTTCTAAATAGTTCTAGAATCTATCCACTCCCTTCCCCCTCTACTGGTCAGCACCCTGACCAAGCCACCATCATCTCTTGCTTGGATGATTACAGTCACCTCCTAAATGTTAGCCATTACTTATCACTGTAAGTGTTGTTATTATACCACTACTAGCACAACTTCTAGTATTATTACTATTACTACTGTTACTGCTATAACTATTACTACCGTGCTACTACCATACTATGCAGCACGAGAAGGATTTGAATGAGTTTTTCCTTTCATTCTCCATTTGTAGTTTCTATCCTGCTGAGCTCAAAGTTATTTTACTTATGTCTCCCTACAAAGCCACATGCAAACAACTCCACTGCCTTTGAAAGCCTGGCCAGACATTGTAAACACCTCTTTAGGATTCTGTCTCTGCTCCCAGCAGACATGCAGTGGATGGAAGTCACATCTGGGAAGGCCTTTGTAGGGATTCATTCCTCTGATCATGCTGGCAACCTACATCCTTGAGAAAAACAATCTTACCCTGCCCGCATGGAAGGCACTCCAGCCATCCTCCCTCAATACTGGGTTTCCCTCTCTCAACCACCCACGTTAACTCCCTGGAGACTGAGGAACAGCTGGAATCTC